AAAAAAAGGGGAGGGCTACAAAGTTGTAAAAAAAAAAACGTCATCTCGACATTCTCGAGCGTAGCTAAATTTTTTTTTATTTTGAAGGAAATAATTCAAGAATAATGAAAAATATATAATCTGACGATTTCCGCAAGCCGAAATAACAAAAAATCGTCATAAAGTTAAATGCGTGCAGCTGCGTGATGCCTACATTTCCTTAAACCGATCGGAATCTACTAAACGACGTTCTAAATATTTCCCTCAAAATTACATTTCCTGCGAATTTGAACCGATTCCGACCGATAGATTTTGAGAAATTTTGAAAAATCTCAAAAAAAATAAGATTTTTTTTTTTTCAAAGTGGTTTCTTTATCTATCAACTTCAAAAACTAATCCGCCTTTTAGCTTGAAAAACCACGTCGATCGCCACCAAGCTGGTCAAAAGCGGTTGATTCGTCCGAGAGATATCGTGAACGAAAGAAACCCGAAAAAGTGCGTCGAATGCCGCCAACCGCGTGAAAATTGCTTGATCCATTCAAAAGTTATTGCGGTTTGAAAATTCCAAAAACAGTGTTCTATGAAACTTCTATCAGACTTTCGAGCTGGGAGAGCTCAAATGCATAGAAATATTATTTCTTTGAACTCAGCGAGCTCAAAATAGCAATTTTAAGCGCCCAGGAATGGAATTAGCGGGAAGTTGCAGGGATGGCCCTTTAGGTGAACCGTTTTTCTAATTTTTTTTATCAGATCAGGCGAATCCCTCTAGATAGTCGTCAGATTATGAGACAGTACGTTTAGAACATAAAGATGAACCACATATATCTTAATCTGACGCGCTTGAGTATTTCAAAATTGCGATTTTTTTTTGCAAATTATGAAAATGGCCGTGGGTTTGCGTCCCATCGAAATCGTCAGATTAGTGAATGAGAGCTTTTTTTGGTGTACTTAACACTCCCGTACAAAATCTGACGCGCTCGATATTTTTTTTTTTTTTTTCATTTTCAACCCTTAAATACAACCACCCGCATCATGCAAACGATCAGATTAACATACGTATATTATTAAAAATACGTAGGGCATTGATGCCATCAATATCTGACGCGCTCGAGGATGTCCATGCAACAGTTTTTTTTTACATATTTAACAATCTATAGCCGCTTCCCCCACCAATGAAAAGGTATATATCATATAACATTTTTTTCTTCTTATCATCTAAGCTTTGCATCCCAATAGGTCTCTACGACGCTCGAGTAAATCCCCATTTAGCATCGTGGGCTCCCCTACCATATGTTTATTATGGCACATAAGATACATGTATCACTTATTCCACGTCATTAAATTTGAATTTGTAGGCATCCCTACTCATCGGCAAAGAAAAGGCAGAGGGTGTAGAACGAGACGTAACGAGAGAAAAAGCCGGCGTAGAAAACTCTCGGTACTCTTTTAAAATAGCAATAGCAATGTTATGGTGGTACAGTCATCATATAACATTTTTTTCTTCTTATCATCTAAGCTTTGCATCCCAATAGGTCTCTACGACGCTCGAGTAAATCCCCATTTAGCATCGTGGGCTCCCCTACCATATGTTTATTATGGCACATAAGATACATGTATCACTTATTCCACGTCATTAAATTTGAATTTGTAGGCATCCCTACTCATCGGCAAAGAAAAGGCAGAGGGTGTAGAACGAGACGTAACGAGAGAAAAAGCCGGCGTAGAAAACTCTCGGTACTCTTTTAAAATAGCAATAGCAGTTATGGTGGTACAGTCATCATATAACATTTTTTTCTTCTTATCATCTAAGCTTTGCATCCCAATAGGTCTCTACGACGCTCGAGTAAATCCCCATTTAGCATCGTGGGCTCCCCTACCATATGTTTATTATGGCACATAAGATACATGTATCACTTATTCCACGTCATTAAATTTGAATTTGTAGGCATCCCTACTCATCGGCAAAGAAAAGGCAGAGGGTGTAGAACGAGACGTAACGAGAGAAAAAGCCGGCGTAGAAAACTCTCGGTACTCTTTTAAAATAGCAATATCAATGTTATGGTGGTACAGTCATCATATAACATTTTTTTCTTCTTATCATCTAAGCTTTGCATCCCAATAGGTCTCTACGACGCTCGAGTAAATCCCCATTTAGCATCGTGGGCTCCCCTACCATATGTTTATTATGGCACATAAGATACATGTATCACTTATTCCACGTCATTAAATTTGAATTTGTAGGCATCCCTACTCATCGGCAAAGAAAAGGCAGAGGGTGTAGAACGAGACGTAACGAGAGAAAAAGCCGGCGTAGAAAACTCTCGGTACTCTTTTAAAATAGCAATAGCAATGTTATGGTGGTACAGTCATCATATAACATTTTTTTCTTCTTATCATCTAAGCTTTGCATCCCAATAGGTCTCTACGACGCTCGAGTAAATCCCCATTTAGCATCGTGGGCTCCCCTACCATATGTTTATTATGGCACATAAGATACATGTATCACTTATTCCACGTCATTAAATTTGAATTTGTAGGCATCCCTACTCATCGGCAAAGAAAAGGCAGAGGGTGTAGAACGAGACGTAACGAGAGAAAAAGCCGGCGTAGAAAACTCTCGGTACTCTTTTAAAATAGCAATAGCAATGTTATGGTGGTACAGTCATCATATAACATTTTTTTCTTCTTATCATCTAAGCTTTGCATCCCAATAGGTCTCTACGACGCTCGAGTAAATCCCCATTTAGCATCGTGGGCTCCCCTACCATATGTTTATTATGGCACATAAGATACATGTATCACTTATTCCACGTCATTAAATTTGAATTTGTAGGCATCCCTACTCATCGGCAAAGAAAAGGCAGAGGGTGTAGAACGAGACGTAACGAGAGAAAAAGCCGGCGTAGAAAACTCTCGGTACTCTTTTAAAATAGCAATAGCAGTTATGGTGGTACAGTCATCATATAACATTTTTTTCTTCTTATCATCTAAGCTTTGCATCCCAATAGGTCTCTACGACGCTCGAGTAAATCCCCATTTAGCATCGTGGGCTCCCCTACCATATGTTTATTATGGCACATAAGATACATGTATCACTTATTCCACGTCATTAAATTTGAATTTGTAGGCATCCCTACTCATCGGCAAAGAAAAGGCAGAGGGTGTAGAACGAGACGTAACGAGAGAAAAAGCCGGCGTAGAAAACTCTCGGTACTCTTTTAAAATAGCAATATCAATGTTATGGTGGTACAGTCATCATATAACATTTTTTTCTTCTTATCATCTAAGCTTTGCATCCCAATAGGTCTCTACGACGCTCGAGTAAATCCCCATTTAGCATCGTGGGCTCCCCTACCATATGTTTATTATGGCACATAAGATACATGTATCACTTATTCCACGTCATTAAATTTGAATTTGTAGGCATCCCTACTCATCGGCAAAGAAAAGGCAGAGGGTGTAGAACGAGACGTAACGAGAGAAAAAGCCGGCGTAGAAAACTCTCGGTACTCTTTTAAAATAGCAATAGCAATGTTATGGTGGTACAGTCATCATATAACATTTTTTTCTTCTTATCATCTAAGCTTTGCATCCCAATAGGTCTCTACGACGCTCGAGTAAATCCCCATTTAGCATCGTGGGCTCCCCTACCATATGTTTATTATGGCACATAAGATACATGTATCACTTATTCCACGTCATTAAATTTGAATTTGTAGGCATCCCTACTCATCGGCAAAGAAAAGGCAGAGGGTGTAGAACGAGACGTAACGAGAGAAAAAGCCGGCGTAAAAAACTCTCGGTACTCTTTTAAAATAGCAATAGCAGGTACAGTCGAAAGTTATTTTACCACACATAATGGCGTGAAAATTTATCTTAAAAGGAATTTTACATAGAAGATATTTTACACAAACAACTGTGTATAAAAATTAGAAATAAAAAAAATACCAACCTTCAAAGTCTGAGGCTCAGAATTCTGTATGTTTCGAGATCATTTGGTTTTTCATAATAGGCAAGTAGGTAATCAGCTGTACCTGACCCATGCCGTCATCTTTTTGGGTCTAAGCCATGCCGCTTTCCTCACTTAGTTTTCCATCACCGTACGAGCGAGTGTATCGCATATACGCGGAAAGTCAATTGGTTCGACCATACCTTGGGGTCGGACGCTGAAGTCAAGACCAACACTGTTCAGCTCGGCAAACTTGGAAGGTGTTAGTTTATTTGGTACAGTGGATTTTAAAGCTTAGTTTTAAACTTAGTTATTCAAGTTCAGTGAGATCACTTATGTTGTTATTTTAATTGAATAAGAGCTAAACAATAAAAAAAAACATTCATTCTCCAATATGGTAATACAAAACCATCATATGCCAATGTTCTAGAAGTAAATCGTGTAGGTGTTTTATCAAACACTTCAGTTAGGTCATGCTTTGAATGGAAGTACTTTCTATAAACATTTTATAGATCAACAGGTGCGCAAGAGCAAAGTAAATAATACGCCTGCAATGCCTTATATTATGCACTGCAGATTCAGAGTGCTAACGAGATTGGAGCCACGATACACGCGACCGGATATTAAATAAAAATATGTTTTTTTGTATATGTTAAATAACAAACACTATAATATGTAACATAGATTAAAGTAATCGTGTATATATTAATAAATAATATATTAATATATATGAACTTTTATTATATTAATAATAAAATATATTTCTTTGTATTCTGATAATACCTTATATTTAATTGAGAATAATAAATTAAAACCTTTCACCGTTGATTCTAAGGGCTATACCACGAAACAGAAAACGAGAGCCCTCTTGTGGATCGCTACAAGTTGTTTATAATGATAACATTGTATTGTAGACATTTCCTGCCGTGAGGGGTAAACTTAAGACCGCCTATTATAAAATAGACCATGGTTATTATTATATTAAGTTATAGAATAAGCTTACGAGAAATGCATATAATAATTACAGTGTCTAGCTATTTGTAATCAACTAAGCGGTTATATGAAAATAATAATGAGAAAACAAACTGAAATCTATGTATGTTGAGCTTTTCCCATGTTAATTGTGACCAGATAATATATCCAAAATTAAATAAGCAAACAAACTAGTGTCCCAATTCTTTTAGGATTAAAAATATATTAGGTAGCGAAAGAGAATGCTACCCAGTAATTATAATATTGTATAAACCTAGCTTGCTGGCCAGAGCAGTGTGTATAAGCGTAATAGTATGTGGAAATCTTATTATATTTACAATAAGACGTCTTAGACCCAAACAGTCGACGGCTTGTGTCAGGCACGCAGGCTGATCACCTACTTGCCTATTAGATTTAAAAATGATCACCAAACAGAGTCAGAAATCTGAGGCCAAGACCTAAAGAGGTTGTAGCGCCACTGATTTATTATTTAATTATTTTTTCATTAACCAGGCTCACAATCATCGCACGCGGCATAGGCGGCAGGGCGCAGGCCTTTTTCTCTCGGCATCGTATGTAATTCCCGGGGGAGAAGGCGCTGGTGCGTGGGGGGAATGGGGAGACATCTCCCCTTGCTCCAGAACATGTGGCGGCGGTGTTGCCAGTCAAAAGAGAATTTGCTTAGAAGTTGGGTAAGTTCAATTCTCAAGATAATATAGGTACATTGCTCACGGATGTTTCACGTATTGAATTAAAATTTAAGGTTAGTAACCTTAAATTTTAAACCAACCAGATTTACAATCAATTGTGGTAATTTTAAAAGGTTTTGTTTTGCAATTGAAGGTCAGACGGCCGGCCATTGTGCTCCGGCGGAGACACCAAGTACTTCTCATGTCAGACACAAGACTGTCCTGAAGGAGCGGGGGACTTCCGATCTGAGCAATGCGCAGAGTACGACACTCAATTGTTCAAAGGGAACCGTTACAAGTAAGAATATAGAATAACTCATTCTTTTAAATTAATATTTGACACTGTTTAACACATATTTTACTTGCAGTTGGGTTCCATACACAAGAGCATCGAACCCATGTGAACTAAACTGTATGCCACGAGGCGAACGGTTTTACTATCGTCACAAATTGAAGGTAGTCGACGGTACACGATGTAACGAAGAATCATTTGACGTCTGTGTCGATGGAACTTGTCAGGTAGGAAGTACAATTCAGCAATAGAACTTTAATTTATATTACTCCATTTTGTGATACCATCAAGTGATCAATTCTACTTTCGGGCTACGACATGTATTCCGTTCTTTTAACGTTCACGCCTTTGCTATATAATAATAATAATATTATTCGTATAGCTTTGATAATAGTGGTAGTATTTAATAGTTATGAAGTTGAATTCGGTGTATGAGGAATTTTAATAACGACTTCGATCAAATTATTGTTGGTTTTTTATAAGATAAATTATATTTAATGCGAAACATTGAGTTTATTATATAACTGTATATCTTTTAAGTTTTCTCGCTTAATTTTAATTATATTTTTAGTCGGTTGGCTGTGACATGATGTTGGGTTCAAATGCAAAAGAAGACAAATGTCGACAGTGTCGTGGTAATGGTACAAACTGCTACACCTCCACTGGAGTCATTGATTCACAGGATCTTAGGAAAGGTAACTTGAAGACACAGGCGTGTTTCTATATAACAAAAGACAATAATGAGATTAAATCACGTCGTTTGCGTAAAACTTTAAAATTTATTTTAAGGATGACTCGACGAACTCCTCTTACCTCAACAGGAGCTTCTTAGATTAATTATCAGACATGGATTTCTATATGATACCCATTATATACCCACAAAAACCATCAAGGGATTTAACGTTGAATAGCTTAAATACAAAAAATAAAACACATATATTTTTAAACAATACACAATCTTAATATATATAAATTACGCGTCACGTTTTTTGTCCGCTATGGACTCCTAAACTACGGAACCGATTTCAAGAAAATTTGTACACCGTGTGTAGTTTGATCTAACTTAAAAGATAGGATAGCTTACATCTCAATATATACCCGCAATATTATTTTATTTCAAAATGTTTGTTTACTATTTGATAGTTACAGCTAACAGATGGCGCTGTTTTGAAAGTACCAACGTTTCACATAAGTTACAATTTAATGTCATAACCACCAAAAAAGCATGGTGGTCGCCATTAGTGATGTTCTCCTACCGTTTCCCTTGAATAGTTTACTACTACGTATGTAATATTATAATAGAAACCTTAGCCACAGCAAAGCTTGGCCTGTCTGCTAGTATTCATATAAATATTTTATTACTAGAATGATATTTATTTTTATTACAGGCTACAATGATGTCCTATTAATACCACAAGGTGCAACAAACATCGTTATCTCGGAAGTCAGGTCTTCCAATAACTATTTAGGTAAGAAATAAGTACTAGTCTCAACTAAGCTAATAACTGAATCTTTATTTAATCAATTTAAACTTAATAACGATTCTTAAATAACCACATTGGATTATGTATTTTTTTTTAATTATCAGAAGCGACAATTCGTCGTTGCAGTATTCTGTGTCTTTTTCTACAAAAAGTTGAAAGTAATGTCTATAATATATTTCGCATTGTATGGAGATGGTCTGACAAACTACCTACTATTTTTTACTTCGATCTTAGCATTATTAAAATAAGACTATATTACCATTTAACTATATATTCTTCCAAAAGCACTTCGAGCTCAGCAGGACAACGTCTACTATTTGAATGGAGACTACCACATCGACTTCCCTCGAAGCTTGCCCATCGCTGGCTCTCTGTGGTACTACGAAAGAAGTCAGCAGGGATTTGCAGCACCGGATAAGCTCCGCTCTTTGGGGCCAACAACTGAACCTCTTTATCTATCGGTAGCCTTTTATTTTAATCTTAATATATATAAATTACGCGTCATTTCAATCAAATTTGCACACCGTTTGCAGTTTGATCTAACTTAAAAGATAGGATAGCTTACATATATATATATATATATATATATATATATTCTACTGTAGGTGTGTATGTCACTGAACTCCTCTTAAACGGCTGGACGGATTTGAATGATTTTTTTGTTCGGGTAGAGCCTGGTATGATTTAGATTCACAAATCAGCCCGGCAGATGGCACTGCAGTCGTTACTTTTATACCTTGTTTAATATCCTTATCGCTTGAACAACAACATGCAGGACAAGGTCTGTCGGGTCCGCTAGTAGATTATAAATTTTACGATATTACAAAGATCTTTTGCAAAAAAAAAACCAACCAACGAAGTTATGTTACGCTGTATCTAAAGCGGGCCATAGACGGACCGCATGTTGCAGCCAAGACCGACTGCAATATGCGGTTTGCTCAGGAACTGCTCGAGCGGTCCGATTATTGCGAATATGAATTTAGTATGGAAACTGCAGATCGCCGTGCGGCGAACGCATTTTGCAGTCAAGACCGACATGCGGTCCGTCTATAGCCCGCTTAAAAATAAAGATTAAATCTAAAGCAATGCTTACGAAGGCATGGTTTAAATCATGGAAGAATAGAACAAAGAAAAACACTTCCAGTTGAATAATTTGAAAAATATAATCAATGACAATTAAATCATGATTTTCCTAAACAAATTTTCTCCAATAATTTCAGCTTCTCCTACAAGAGGACAATGTGGGTATATCATATGAGTACAGTATACCTTCAGCCCAAGCGCCGCCTCCTAATCAGCAATATAATTGGGTTCACGAGGAGTTCAGCGCTTGTAGTGCTACATGTGGTGGAGGTAATTTATTTCATTGATTGGCGCTTAATAACATGCTACAAAATCAATCAAAACTAATCAATACAAATAAACATTACGCACTGAGTATCGCTTCGAAAATACCTAACGCCTAAATATTTACCTACTTTACATTAGTGTTTATAGATAGAGCTATATTAAAGTTCAAAGTTATTCTGTTCAAGGCTCGGCTCATTGGTCTAGTGGTTAGTACCCCTAACTGCGAATCCATGGGTCCTGGGTTCGATCCCCGGCTGAGACAAACATCGACGTGATGAGCATTTGGTGTTGTGCTTAGGTCTTGGGTGTTTAAATATGTATTTATATGTCTATCTATCTATTATATGTATGTATATCCGTTGCCTAGTACCCATAACACAAGCTTCACCAGCTTAGGCATGGGACTAGGTCAATTGGTGTGAATTGCCCAATCATCTTATCTTATCTTAAGGCGTATTGTCAGTAATTTTACTCGTATGAGTCCATTTTACCCAGAAGACGTATTCAGTATAACAAGACGTTTAGGTTGCAATTGGGTTTGCCGATGTTCTGCAGTGCGTCATCTTTACTGAGACCCGAATGAAGATTTTTATGCCATCGTTCAGAAAAGGGTGGCATCCTTGATGCATTGTGTTAGGCATATCACCAATGGTATCCTGAATGTTAATAACAAAGAACACAGACAGGAATTGTAACAATTAAATTTATATGGGAAGAAGTGGATATTGTGGCGTTTAAATATAAATTTCACGTATAACAGCGTAGATTTATATTATTACTATTCGTAGGTACTCAAACGCGCGAAGTGACGTGCCGATCACGCGAGGAGTTGGAAGTTGTTGAAGATAGTTTATGTGACAAAGGGCTTAGGCCTCCCACTACTGAGACCTGTAATACTGACCCATGCCCTCCTCATTGGGTCGAAGGGCCATGGAGTCCCTGCTCCAAGCCTTGCGGTGAAGGTGGCTCCAGATCCCGACAAGTACATTGCGAGAAAGTTATTTCTCAAGGGTAAGTAACTATGTAGACTTATGGATTGAAGAAGAACTGAAGAAATTGTACGGACCTTTCCATTTTACGTACAGATAACGTAATCTGTCTAAGATTTCTTGCGAACATGCGAAATAAATATGTGTTGCGATTTAAAAAATCTGTCTAAAACACACTAACACTTATTTATGCAAATATGACAGACATATTACATAGAATAGACTTGATGACTATACGAGTATCTGTAATATACAATTCTTATGTAGGTACACGCGTTAGAAGTTATTCTTCTTCGGCGTAACAAGATAACATCTTTTCAAAAAATTTATTCTACGTTTGTAGAAAAAAACTACACTAACAATAGAAAAAAGGTATTTAATACATTGAAAGTTATATTATCACGCATTATCTAGTTAAATAAAGTTTATTAAAATATCACAAAAAAAATATCTACATAATTAAATAAATTGATTTTTTTTTTATTTTTAGCATGCAACTTATACATATTGATATTATTTACTATTTAATTCACGTCCATTGGTTGGAGTTCAGTAGACATGTGAGTTACAAGAGCCTTATGATAGCTAAAGTATGATACAAATATGCTTGTAGAAACATTATCTAAATATCGTACAAATACAGCATCAATAGTTGTATTGAAAAAAAACTAAAATGTTGACTATAACTATCTAGCTAACCCCAGGGTGTCGGTTCTTTGTGTGTGCGCGTGCATCGTAAGAATTTACTCTCATCATTTTACCATAACGCGCCAAAAGAAGTATAACTTCAAAAATACAATTATTGCTTTATTAGATTGTACATATTCTAGGATTGCATCGATCGCGGCGGATAAAGAATGCTTCGATCTTCTGGGCCCAAAACCTGAACTGTACCAAGAATGTAATCAGAATGCCTCGTGTCCCACGTGGTTCACTGGACCCTGGAGACCTGTAAGTCTAATAAAAATATTAAAGCCTACAATACATATATTCCTAATTTAGTTACGCAGTTATCCTGTTCTCCGCTTAAGACGAATCGTATAGGTATAGGAAATCACATAGGTTTTTAGTTTTATAGGCACAAGAGGCTACGAGGCTTAGATGAGGCCTGCAATTAAAAATAATGAAGCATAAATGTTTCTGCCAATGGGTTCCCATGGAATCAATGTAAGTCATTAAGGAGCTCCACCATAAAGTTGTGGAAAACGCTCCCTCTCTAGTCTTTTAAGTTTTAAGTCTTCTACATAAACACCTCTTATCCATATCCTCTCCTGCTCAATCGTGACTTTTGTAATTCATGTATGTATTTTCTTATTATTTTGTATTGCATTTTAGCTACTTTCTAGGGTTGCCTTGAAGAGGTCCGCCCGTTGCATTACTTATAATTCATGATACCTACTTTTATTTGTAATATAACGATGTTATTGCTACATATTATTGCTTGTGAGACAGATATCTTTAGTTGCACACTGGCTGAATTCACAAGAATTGCATTATTTATAATTAGTTATAAAAAGGTTAAGATTTTAAGTTTTTACTTGTTATGTTTACATTATGATTTTAGTTTAGTTTTCTATTGTATTAAGTTACTGTAAAAATAGGAAATAAGGAAAATAAATAAAAAATATTTAATAAGTAATACAATACTTTTAAATATTTTTAGTGCGACAAATTGTGTGGTGAAGGGAAACAGCTTCGTCAAGTAGTATGTCATCAAAGAATCAATGGCCGTGTTGTATTGTACGGCGATGAAGAGTGCGCTGATAAGAAGCCTCCAACCGAACAGGCCTGCATGCTACATCCATGCGAGGGGGTCGACTGGGTGCTTAGCGATTGGACTGGGGTAAGAACGTTTTATAAAAAAAATTCATTTACACCATTATATTTTTTGATATATCTTCACAGTCCTGGCCAGTGATCTCGTTTTGTTTACAATTTCGATGCAGTTATCTCAATAGTTATTGGTAGTACTACTAATGTCACTTTCGGATCACACTACACAAAAAGTCAATAAGTAAGTTACCGGTGGTTTTAGTTAACAACCGCACTAAGCCTCAGATATATTAGCTGTTTGCGTTATTTAGTAAATATTTTATAACCTAATATATTTAATACCATATTTAAGTATCACTTCATTAACATAAACAAAAATCAGCCGTTTCACTAAATGTAAGTTATTTTTCAGTGCGACACATGCACTTCGAAAGTACGCGCGCGGACAGTGCAATGCGCTACCAAGGACTTCAAAATTGTCAACTCGAGTCTTTGCGACTACCACCCACTGCCGGTCTTGGAAGAACCCTGCGATCCCAACAAGCTTCCTGCTTGTGACGTACTGTGGTATGCGACACAGTGGAGCAAAGTTAGTATAATAATAATAATAAAAACTTTATTAATGACAGAAGGGTTTGTGACAGAAATCATAAATCGCTAGTCCCCACACTAGGGAGGCCCTGTGTTGTGGGTAAGTAGAAAACAATTATTTCGTGGTACATGTTAAAATTAGTTTAATAAAAAAGAAAAAATAAAAAGAAAAAATAAAAAAGAAAAAATAATAATAATAGTTATAAATTTAGGGTTACAAATGAAGTGAATGAGTGAGTGTGTGAATAGGTGAGTATGAGCATGTAGCTGAAAGTTGTTATGATCGTGCACTGTGTCTATGTTAGTTTATGAAACGTCAAAGTCATACCAAGATATGTAGTAATGCCTCTGTAGATTCGAAATCCAATTTGGCTAGTGTAGTTTCTATGTGACTTGCTAATTTATATCTGGATAGTTTTACGATCTCAGAATCCATAGATTTGGAAATTTTGTTATAAAGGAATGGCTAAAATTTTGCCCCTAAATGCAAAGGAGCGTTGGCCAAACACAGTCCTTCGTTTTGGCGTTGGAAATTCAAAACGACTGTTCTTAGATGTGTCCTGAATTGTGAGCCCATGGAATCTATGATATCTTGAACAGGTCGCCAAGATGTAAAGCTTCCTTACCGAGAGGTTTTTTGTTTCTAGGTGGAGTTTGACTGTGGGGTATCTAAACGGCCTGCGATAGGCAACTTTAAGGATTGCTCTCATTTATCTATTTCGTAATCCTATAGCTCACATAAGTTATATATAACAAAAAAATATACTAAAGATGTAGCCAAAATACATAATATATCAAAGGTTCAAACATTTACGAAAGGAAAAAATTAATAACAATTATTAATACATTTAACTGTGTAATACCTATTTCGGCTGTGTTGTGTGCTGGTGTGACAGTGATGACATGTACGTGAGGGTGTGTATGTGATCATGATGCAGCGCTATGGCGCTTAATACTCCTTTAAGCATATTCCACGATAGCTTAAACAAGTCAAGGCTTAAATATCGTTCGTTGTGTCCGGGCTGCGCGATACAAAACTGACATATTTGGATAGTTGGTGTTGATGTGAGGAACGTGAAACAAAGCATTATTACGAGTCTGGTAGGCCCCACTTGTCTCATAATTTATAATTACGTATAGGCGATTTACAAAAATGAAAAAGAAATACAAAATCAAAATAGGTAATAATATATCATACGGTATTTAGTAGGTAATACAGATTCAGTCGAAAGGCGTATGTTAATCGGAAATTGTCGTATTTTTGGAAGGCCTATTGTAATGTGTATTCTGCTATACGTATATATTACAATGTTATTAATACAAAATATATCTTATAACACTGTTTTAATCAAATCAAATGTTTTATTAAAATGCTGAAATTTATTATTCAGAATAATGCGCAGCTGGTAGGTTAGGTTATTAAACAGTTAATAAAAGTTTTTACAAACAATACTACGTGTCGACTCTTTATACCGACATTCGTTAAAATTGTTTGGTTTAACACAAAACATTAATTCCCTCTTAATAACGCAGCAGCCATTCTCTATTACGAAGGAATATCTTCATATTTAGACATCAACATCATACTTAAGTGTAATTGTTTTTATAATCAGCTTAGAAAACTAACTATGAAGTGCTGAACTTTCTAAAAAAAAAAACACCTGTCATAAACAACCTCATCGCCTTTGTTATTGTTAATTGCATTAACACGTGTGCCATTATTCTTAGATTACATTGCCTGTAGGAAATTTTGGTCTCAGTTACTAAACGTACCATCGTCACCTATCTATTATATATATAAATTATTGTAATTGGTAAAAAAAAATTATTTCTACCCTCCATATAACGAAACCTCTCGAAAAAATGCTTGAAATTCGTTATAAAGAGTTAACATTGTATCTACAAAAAGATTCATGTATAATTTATTATTATGTTTTTCAGTGCTCCGTGGAATGCGGTAATGGTATACAAACACGGCGTGTGTTCTGTGGGCGATTCGATGGTGCTGGTGTGACCGTGGTGGACGATGAGCGATGTGACGCCAAGACTAAATACAACGATACTAAGGAGTGCGTGGTGCCAAAGGAAAAGTGCCCCGCCAAATGGTTCGCCGGACCTTGGACAGAAGTAATTAAAATCTGATATATAAAATTCTCGTGTCACAATGTTCGTTCCCATACTCCTCCGAAACGGCTCGACCGATTCTTATGATTTTTTTATGCATATTCAGTAAGTCTATTATCTATCTTTCAAACCCTTAAGTGATAAGGGGGGGTGTCCACCCAAAAAAAAATTCTTGTTTTTATTATTTTATCATACAAAAATACATACAACCCTTAATTTTCACCCCTCTACAATCAACCCCTATTTTTATTATTGATAGTTATTTTTATTGAACTAAAAAAATTTTTCCTAGTAACTTTTTTTTTATACAAGGCAAAATAAATATATATAAATAATAATACATTTTGATCACATATTTGTGTTAATATTTTAATAGATCAATCTGTTAAATAATCCATGGATGTATGTATTCTATAATTCAAGTTAAGTATCAGTAAAATAAACATATACAAGTGTTAAGCAAATACATTTTGGTACGGCTATCCTATACGACCAATTATTTTATTGTACCAAATAGATACTAGCTACTTACATATAACCTGATAGTTTTATTTATGAAACCTCTTTTCTCAGGAGCAATCACAGACCCTCATGATGTTCTCGTGTATTGAAATTATAATACTATGATTTCAGTGTACCAAGAAATGTGGTGGTGGGGAGCAGTACCGTCGTGTCAAATGCATGAGCGGTGAAGAGATTTCAGCCTACTGCGATCCAGAGACTGTTCTCGACTCTGCACAGGCTTGTAATTCGCAGTCTTGCAACGAAGGTAATGTAGAATAAAAAAAACTATGAATAATATTCAATTTAATATATTAAAAAAAGGGTGCGTGTACTTACGTACGCGCGTAAGAAGTTATACTTCTTTAGCATTATTAAAAATAGTTTTCGATTGCATGCAAATAATAACAATTAAATAATCAAAGACTGGAAAAGGAGTCATTATAGTCAATAAAGTTCAGTTTACATTTGAAAAATTAAATTTTTATTCTTTACATTAAGTGTAGCATCTTCCGTGGGCAACTTCATTCTGTTAATTTGGTGTCACGGTGCGCGCGCATCGTACAATTTCACTCTCATCAATTTTTCATAACGCGCCTAAAGAAGTATAACTTCAAAAAACCGGTTTAAATGTCCAATCATCCCTAAAACTTCCCAAAATCCATATTATAAACTAGCAGCTTTTAGTTAACGTTAACAAATTTTCTGAATCAAACAAGGTGGGCAACAAAGTAAATTAATTAATAATGTATCTCGTCTGTAGGTGTTGAGACAGGGGCACATGGCCTAGATCGGCTAGGTCTGCAAATCCGCCTCTGCTTATCATAGGTATTTCTATAATGGAATGTCAAAATTGAACTTCTCATACTGCTTACGATAAGATTTAATATTTCCTCGGGTATATACAATGTAACTAAAAATAAAGTAACACAAAATATTTAAAGAAAAAACTTTTTAACCGGATTAAAGTTATGTATTATTATAAATTTACAATTATTTAACATAATTTTAAATTTAACCGACGTTTCGCGTGCTTTACAGCGTGCGTGGTCACGGTGACTGAAGACAAAAGGTATTGGATGTCAAAAGTATCACAGCTGTAGAAAAAGTTGCATTATCTGTATTTATTTCCCCGGAGTTGGTATTGACTAAAGAGGGTTTTTGCAGAAATGGCTCACGGTGTCCTCTATTTTCGCGGATTGTTTATCTTGAGATTTCAATTTGGATATTATTGGATCCCAGGTGTTTGACAATTTTAGGCCGTCTTATCTATTGAAATTGGGGTGTTTTTTGATTTTAATGGCTTCGCGTACCAATCTTGGGAAGAATCTTTTTTCTTTCGCAAGTACTTTCGGTTGGTCAAAGCGTATGTAGTGATAAACACAAAATATTCTTTAGTTCAATGCCTTGTTTAGTCTAATAAACCTAGTTTCCTAGTCTTATTATTAGCTATTAGTCATAACTTAAAGATATATCTATACTATACATGTAATTACGAGACTAGTATCTATAAATCTCTTAGTGCAAAAAATATTTACAGATGACTTGATACCAGAAAATGCCAACTCCAGGCCCATAGTGGACGACGATTCCGACTACACAGACTGTGAAGAAGATGATTATCCAGAAGAAGGAGCTGAAGAGGAAGCTCTGGAAGACATCTCTTCCAAAGATTTACACTTTACACTTGTAAGATTTTATCTAATAATCCAGTATTATTAAGGAGCTCGTAGGAGGATTTTGCCAAATTACGGACAACTTTCATAGTTACTTAGTTAATTAGCGGTTAAGAATAATATGACGTGTCCGTAATGAAGGCTAATTATTATCCCATAGGGTCATACACAAACCAACTGGCATATTACAAAAAATATTCGTAATAGTCGTTATCTTTTATTTCTAACATTAGGCAAGCCAAGACCATTTGCCCTTTTGAATACTACAGAGTAAAATTACTTAATTAAATTCTTTGAATAAGTATTTCAAAATCTTTCAACCTTTATAAGCTCCTTTCGGCACGCTTCGCATGAATGCTATCAAATTTCGGATAATTTGTTCGTAAGGACAGCAATCCTTTGTCAAAACACATACATTTTAATTAATATTTTCTTTTTTTAACAGGTGCCACCTGGTGCATTTTATTTTGGTAAGTAACAATAATTAATGTTACTATTTCATTACATATTATTAGATTTTTTACAAGAACGAAAGGCGAAGGGAAATTAATACGTATTATTTAAGTTATTTTACTAATATTTTCTTCCTTACAGAAGAGATAAGTTTTTTAGATAAATAGGATTTTTTAAAAGCCGTGTTGAAATATAATAAGAATCTAAAAATATTTTTAACAGGTAAAGATGCTTCTACGGAAGGTTCAGCCTCCGAATCAGATTGGATCGACAACGACACTCCATTCACGACCGGTTTGTATTTTCTGAATATTTTCCATGCTGGTAGCGTATTATTGGGAGTAAAGGTTTATTTAATAAGTATTAATATTTTCAGAATCATCCGATGGCACCAGTGACACGGATCTGACCGAGAGCGGTTCAGGTACGTAACTTATTAAATGTATAAAAATATACAGTTATCCGGATACGGACAATGCAAGAAAGTAAAAATTTGTTTCTTTTTCCCATGTTTCGCATGCATTATTGAAAGGATGATGAGGGGTTGATTCCTATAAAATTAAATAAATAATCAAATTTGTTATAAAAGGAGCATTATAATGTAAATATATTATTTTAAGAGAATCTTATTTTTTGCTTATTAATTATTAGCTGTCACATTCCAAAATATTTTTTAACGGGATAACTTTGTTAACAGGATTTGATGAATTATTTATATCATCGTCAACAACGGATTCCACTGACAGCAGCTCTACAGGTATGTTATTAAACTTATTTGTCACTGTATTTTGAAATACTATATATTTAATGTAATTTGGTCTTTCGTATAATGTATTTTATTATATAATGTAGTTACACAACACTATTTATAAAATGTAGTCTTGAAAACCAAAATCAATGTTCGCCACTAAACTGTACTTAGACAGTGGGGATGGATCCGCGCCATATACTTTCATTAAAGTTTCATCTCAGCAAGGTTTCTTATAAAATATTGAATTATGTTGAAAGAAAACCATAAAAATTATTATTATTATTTAATTATAAATTATTTTGTATATATATTTTTTTTAAATTCACTTAGGTACCACAGAGTACACAGAAACCCCAGAAAGTACCACTGGCATTGCAAATGAAACAATATCTACTGAAAGTAGTGACACATCCAGCGTAACTGAAGGTACCAAATTTTGTTTTTAATTTATCTTATTACGTAAGGCGTTTCTGACCTATGCTGTTTATTCGCAAGACTTAACTAATTATGTGTTCATTTGTAGGAAGCACGGAATCTCTGTCAACAGAAGACACACAGAGTACAACAGAGTCATCCTCTGATACTACAGAGTTTGAAAGCACATTCGGTATGTATAGATAGAAACTTATTTGGATATTTTATTTGAAATCCTAAAATATACATTTTTTTTACAGTAGCAACAGATGCAACTGAAACACCTGAAAGTACGACCGGCCTTGTAACTGAAACAACTTCATTGATAACTGAAACAGGTTCTACAGAAGTTACTTCCACGCCTAGTGAAACCGAAGGTACTAGTTGTCTAATAATGAGTTGAAGCCTGCGATTTTGTCATGTAATCTCTGACGGAGGATACGAGGAGCCTCTTCTTTTATGTATATTTTGTAACTTCTGATAATCTTATGAATTATGTACCAAAATAATCATTTTATTTTCAAACAGGAAGCACAGACGCATCTACAATTGCAGAAACTTCAATAACATCAGAATCCACATCTGTAGACACAGATAGCACGATAGTAGATTCCACAAATACTGAAACCACTGAATCGATTATCACAGAAAGTACTGACTCAACAGTTTCTGAATCAGTTGGAACTACAGAGAGTACAGCAACAGAGACTACAGCAACAGAGACTACGGACGCTGCCACCGAAAGCACGGTTTCAGAACCCTCATCTTCAACTGAGGCAACAGAAGCTTCAGATAGTACAATAGCATCTGGCTCTACAGAAACTGTGGTAACAGAGTCATCAACTGAAACAACAGAACATACTATAACAGATACAACACTTGAATCTGAAAGTACTCTATCTACTGAAGCGGCAGAAATTTCCTCTACAGCAGGAAGTAGTACAGACATAACAACTGAATCTGATGGGACCGACTCTGATACAACCGAATCTTATACAACCGAATCTGTTACGACCGAATCTGATACGACCGACTCTGATACTACAGAGGTATCCAGTACAAATGCTGAGATAACCTCTGAAACGGGAACAACTGACGTCGACACCTCTAGTACTACAGCAGATGAAACGGAAGGAACTGATAGTACAGAGTCATCTTCCATAGTATCCGACTCGACTGATACAACGGTAGAAACTGAACCAACTGAAACGGGCACTACTGAAAGTATGGTCACTGAAAGTGGAAGTACGTTTACGACAGGTTTGTCTTTTAGATTTTATATTAGGTCTTAGCAACTATTTTATTGATATTAACATTATTCATACTTCACAGGATTGTTCACTTCTGAAACCACAACTGAAGGTGTTTCAACAAGTGTAACGGAAGAAATAACGCTTAGTTCCGGAGACACAAGTAAGTAATATACTAAATTTTAATGTATACTTAGATTGTTCATATCTTTAAACAGACATTAACATTTATAAATTAACAGCACTTTGGGATTGGTCTACAACTGTCGAGTTATACACGAAGAAGCCCAAATGTAGACCAAGGAAGACTGCAAAATGTGTTAAGAGCAAGTTTGGATGCTGTCCTGATAAGAGAACTCCTGCGGCCGGGCCATTTGACGAAGGTAAAAATATTAAATATAGCACGCAAAAACATTATAATACAAGGAGTTTAAAAGAAATTATACCCCCTTAATTTGATTTAGGTTGCCCCAACCCAAAAACTTGCAAGGAAACGAAATTTGGATGCTGTCCTGATGGCGTGTCACCAGCTGGGAGCATGACGGGCAAGGGCTGCCCAGTGATTTCGTGTGAATTAACTTTGTATGGATGTTGTTCATCCGATAATGTTACCGCAGCTTTAGGGAATGACCAAGAAGGGTGTCCTCCACCTCCACCAGCCTGTAAACTATCTAAGTAAGTGTTGTAATTTCTTAATATTTGCATGCATTTTTAATGAATGAATTGCCATTTGTTCTTTTTTTTATTGTAGATTTGGGTGCTGTGATGATAATGAAACCAAAGCGAGTGGACTAAATAAGGAAGGTTGCACGGAAACAGGTACCTAATAATAATACATAATAATGTTTTAGAAATAACACCTTCTTCCTCGAGTTTATTTAATGGGATGTGTGTCTGCAGCTACGGAAACCTCGACACTGACTACGCTTGAATCATGCAACGACACTGAATTCGGATGTTGTTATGACAATGAAACTGATGCCTCAGGACCAAATGGAGAGGGCTGTCCATGCAGCATCAGTGAATTCGGATGCTGCCCTGATGGTATTTCGACTGGTTCGTATTTTATTGTAAATAAGTATATTTAGCTAAGTTTCACCTTGTGGATACAGTATTAAGTGGGATATGTTGTTTAGCTCAAGGACCAGACCTAGAAGGATGTGCCATGTCCTGTGACACATCAGCTTACGGCTGCTGTCCTGACGGTGAGACTCCAGCGCACGGACCTCAGAATGAAGGTTGTTGTTTGCAATCCGCATTCGGCTGCTGCCCCGACAATTATAAGCCCGCTGAAGGACCGCACCTCGAAGGTACCCCTTGACAACTAATACCTTATTATTAACTATTAAAAAAAATCGTATTATTTGTTTATTATAATTTTTGTAACATTATATTTTTAGGCTGTGGCTGTAAGTTTGCCCAATTTGGATGTTGTCCAGATAATGTAACAATTGCTCGTGGAGGAAACAACGAAGGATGTGGATGTCAGTACACTCAGCATGGTTGCTGTCCCGACAGGTTAGTCAATTTTATTATTTTTAACACTATTCTAATTTGTAATATTCTCAAACATAATCTTTTATAGACATACTGCAGCCAGTGGGCCAAACTTTGAAGGATGTGGTTGCCACACGTACCAGTTCGGTTGTTGTCCCGATGGTATTACCGCTTCCACTGGACCAAACTTGCAAGGTTGTTTGTGCCAACAATCTAAATATGGTTGCTGTGGAGATGACGTCACAGAGGCTAAGGGACCAAATAAGGAGGGATGTGATTGCTCTAGTAGCAAATACGGATGCTGCCCTGATGGTGTAACGGAAGCTGGTGGCGAAAAGTTCAAAAATTGTACAGATGCACCTGAAAATAGACAAGGTAAATTTATCGATTGATGTTTGGGACTCGTATAAATTTTGTTAACACTGTGATTGAAATCAATACCTTTTATTTTTAGCGGCATGCGCTTTAGCGAATGACCGAGGTGTAGGCCACAACTATTCAGTTTATTGGTTTTATGATATGACATATGGTGGTTGTTCGAGATTCTGGTACGGAGGAGAGGACGGCAATGGAAACCGATTTGCAAGTAAAGAGGAATGTATGGCCGTTTGCGTTAACCCGACTCCTAAAGGTAAAAAATGCAGTATAAAATACGGTTTCATCTTATTGTCTACATTCCTATATTATAATATTTATTCCATTTAAACAGACGCTTGCAACCTCCCCAAAGTAAAGGGTGCGTGTACTGGTTACCACGTAAAATGGTACTACGACTCCGTCAGAGAACAATGTGCTCAGTTCGTATATGGAGGATGTCTTGGAAACGATAATAACTTTGAATCTCGGGAGCTTTGTCAAAAGAGCTGTGAACCAGAAAAAACTGAAGGTACATACATCCATCATCTATGTAATTTTTCAACAATTTATGTGAATTATAACAATACAACTATAACAATTTAGATCAATGCAATCTGTCGATTGAGCGAGGTACCTGTGCTGGTAATTTCTTGCGCTGGGGCTACGACTCTGCCAAACACCGCTGCTCTCAATTCATTTGGGGAGGCTGCGAGGGCAACAATAACCGATTCGGCTCTGAAGCCGCGTGTATGCAGCGGTGCAACCCTCCTGGCTCGTTACAAGGTATGATAGCTAGATATGTTAGTATGGGTAGATTGTGTAGTGTTTTGTTTGCATGTCCTTGGTTCTTTTCTATCTTTCAATGGTGTTTAATATTTATTTACAATTATTGTCTATTTCTTTTTGGCTTTGGTGTATGGTATATGTAATAATTTTACTAATTGCACGCACAGCGGAATGCATTCTTCCACAAGAGGCAGGCAACTGCACTGAAAAGCGGCCGGTCTGGTCTTTCAGCCAGACTGAGAATCGATGTGTGCCCTTCTATTACACGGGCTGTGGAGGCAACGATAATCAGTTCGGCAGTGAACAAGATTGTGTTGATGCTTGTCCTAGCACCTTCGGTAATTGTATTGCTATGTATTAGTAATCACTTAAATAGAAAAGTAAAGATTTTATATTTGTGGTAAGTCTTTGTCATTTGTTAAGTTTTTATTATGTTGACGGCATGCGCTCGAACTTAAACTGTGCACGAAAATGGGTTTCTTATATTTTGCACATTATTGGTTCATTATTATAATATTATTTTGTTACTCTTTGGTTTCTATAAAGTTACATACCTTATTTACAGTCCAAGAAGTTTGCACATTGCCGGCATTAACTGGTGAATGTGCAGATTACACACAGAGATGGTTCTACGACACATCAAAGAGAAGGTAAATTGATAATTTTTTATTATGCGGTATGTTTTTAATTAAAATTACATGTCTATACTTTTCATAGATGTCGCCAATTCTATTACGGAGGATGTGGTGGAAATGAAAACAACTTTATAAGCGAACGCCAATGTGAAGATCGTTGCTCGGAACAAGTCGTTGTTACAACATTAGCACCTATCACTACATCACAAACGTCTGGTAAGTTTTCTTCATAATGTATAGGAAAAGGAACCTGAGGTCCTTTTAGATACAAGATGATTCTGTGTAATCGTGAAGTCTAAAGGGGTTTAATTAATATTTCCTCTAGTTGAGAAGTATTACCAGTAATTTATTAGCTGTTTTTTTTTATTACTAAGCCTCTTTAATACTGCCTACCCAGAATTCTGTTTCCTGGGATTGGATCCTGGCCCATGCACACAATTTGAAGAACGTTGGGGATATGACCCGTCACTCGGGTCTTGTGTACAGTTCCAGTACGGAGGTTGTGGTGGTAATAGAGATAACTTCCCATCTAAAGAGCTCTGCCAACATTACTGCTCCCCAGTACAAGGTAAGACCAAAACCATCACGACTTGATAATAAGCAAGGATTATATTTCAGTATTATACAATTTTTTTTTTAATTTGGCTTAATCTGGGGGTAAATAAAGGTTAAGCATTGTTCATATCCTCTTCAGATACTTGCCAGTTGCCGATGATAACTGGACCGTGTGAGGACTCCCATATGCAATGGTTCTACGATGCTACAACTGACTCTTGCACACAGTTTGCTTACAGTGGATGTGGAGGAAATGAGAATCGGTAAATTGATTTGCTTATTAGACAGCAGATGAGAAATCTTAAATAAAAGTTTTAACTATCTATTTATTGAGACGCGAAAAAAATAACATAGTATATAAGGTCCTGCGGTTAATAGCAAGACTTTATGACCTATTACAATCACAAAACAGAAAACAAGTATTGAAATGTAATTTTAAATTAATTTTAAAATCTGGAACATGTTTTGGCTCCGCTCCACTTGATTTTCATACGAGGCATATGTACTCAAATATCGTAACATATTTAAATTGATATTGTCTATCTGCACCAGGTTTGGAAGTCGTGAAGAATGTGAACATCGTTGCAAGACTGGTCCACCCTCTGTCAGTACTACGACTATCGCACCGGTATAACGCAAATTTATTTGTTAATAAAATATATTAATAACCGAATGAGAGTCGTACTAATCCGATAAAATTAACAGGCGGTCGTATCAATAGAGTGTCGAGTCTCTCCGACATTAGAGGAATGTGAAGGGGCAGGGGAAGTATGGTATTTCGATGACACCCTACGAGCTTGTGTCTCCCACCAAAACGCTGACTTGGGTCGTTCCTGCAGGGTAACTGCGGTATATATTACTCAAGAGGAATGTGAGAGGATCTGTGGTGCATTCCAGGGTGTTGGTAAGCTAAATTAAATGTTTTCTTAGCGATACAACAAGAAAATACTGAAGGGATTAGTAATGCTTTCACCGTTTGTATTGAATCCTATTTTTTGACATCACTGTCTAATTTGTTAAGTGTCTATTTCTTCCATTACTTTCTTTAACTTACATTTAACTAAATTTTAGATGTATGCCGCTCAGTGTTGGATCCAGGACCATGTCACGACGCAGTCCCTAAAGTTTTCTACAACGCAACAAATGACCAATGTGAGCCTTTCACCTACAGCGGTTGCCTCGGAGGTCCCAATCGCTTCGCTGACTACGATGAGTGCGAGTCAGTTTGCAGACCATTATCAAGTACGTTACCCTGGAATTGGATTTGTAATTTTAGTGAGGTATACTTTTAATAATAAACTTCTGAAAACGTATTGTGCGCTCTTGCCATCTGACGTCTCGGGAAGTTAAAGAAGAACATATTAACACGTTCACTGCGACATCATTTTATAAGAACTTTCAGCTGGTGCGTTGGAGACCTAAAAGATCTCGTAACAAGCCTATCCTCTGGTGCGTTTGAGACCTAATCAGTCTCCTAAAAATACAGTTTTGAAAATAATTTATATCTTCCAAAAAAACAATGACATATATTTGAAGTTTTTGTGGGTGAAAGATAGCCTATTGCTTTGTAATTTGCTAGGTTCGCACGTAGTTATGACATTTGAATAAACTACAAATACCAAAAAAAATTAGATATCGATTGTATCTCGTACCGCAACCGAAGATAGTTCAATATGTGTAGTAAGTAGTGATGGGAATAAAATAATATGTCAGTTATCGATTCAAAAAGTTTTATTGATTATGCAAAGTGTTTTTCATTAAAACATGGTAAGCACATTGATTGCTTGCATTGCGCGCAAATAGTAACAATTCGTTTAGTTTTTTTAGAAGCGTCAATGCTGTTTAATGTGCGCCGTAATTTTTCGTAACAACCCACACAACGTCTTTTTTGGCGCCACGTTGGAAAATATGATCAGTACATCTTCCTTTGGGGAGTTCTGTAATAAAATGCTTTATATAATAAACAGCAGGCAACTATGTCAGTGAAGTAAATGCTATGGAATCTAATTTTATCAGTTTTTCTAATAGTGAAAAGTTATTCGAGTGTCTTATGTATATTTTTGTTTTAGGCTGTTGTTGCTTTAAAAAATATACGGTGGTATGAAATTAAAGCTGGATTTCACGGGTCTCTTGTAAGTTTACTATAGCAACGTTTTTTATAATAACCGAAATTAAGGCTACCAGAAAAGAACTTACCAGAGACATGTGAACCCCCTCCCCACCTCCCCCTGTGTAGTATAATGCTTACATAATAATAACACTCTAGCATTAGAGATAAGTAGCAAAGCCCACCAGAAATGCTACTAAGCTAAGACAATCTCGAAAAATAACAACCAAACATTTTTAGGCAAGCAACAGAAGAAGTACATTAACGCGTTTCAAACACAAAAAATAAAAACCACGTAAAGTCGAAAAAAGGCAGGCAGTTGTTAGTTCTAAATAAAGCCTCATTAATTTATGTTATTTGAATGGTATCCAAGAAGATTTTTGTACAGTAAACTCGAATGATTAAAGTGCATAACATGCTCAGTTTCATGCAAAGCCTGCTGCAGATAGTTGACGATGCTAAGCTTACCCGCTGTGTGGAACCATTACCTAAGTTTCTGGAGAGATTTTAGCTACCTTTATGAGTAAGATAAGAACAGTTTGTGTTCGAAGAACTGTTTGGTATGTTGACCACGGCAATCTTCTGACACCACCACGCTCGCCATCGGTTTTATCCACATACCCATGAAACTAAACGGTTATGTTTAGAACAAATTAAGATGAAATTGTGATGATTTCCTCTAACAAATGGTGAATAACAACATGATACTCTGCAAAAAGGGTGAGGGAAACGCAGTAGGTACACAAGTGCGTGTCTAGTATTTTGAGCCCTCTAAGGCTAGAGGGATGGCTTAGTGTATATCTGCTTTCCATTAAATGTCATGTCACAACAAACCGGCAGGTTTAATATACACGTTTGTTGTCACACGAGTTGCATTAAAAGTAGTACTTTGTGCAATAATAAGTTAATCATACCTGTTCCGGAAATTTTTTGGCCTCCGAATGTTTCGATTATTGATTCTGTGAATTCTTTTTTTGACATTTTCTTCTCTGTATTGGAATTGTATATTATCCATGCGTTTATGAGTGCAGTACCAAATAAAAATTCCATCATCACTTTCCGATACCATTTTAGACCTCGTCGTAAAGTTGTATAGTATGCCGACATTTGATCTGAGTAGTCTATGCCTTTTTTATTATCATTATAAGTTAATATGCACAGTGGCTTTCTGATCATTTCATTAGTTCTATTATGTATCTTACCTGTATCTACTAGAGACGCTTTATGTGTTTTACAGGAAGTTATCATTGAAACTTGGCGCTTATCGTGCCATTTAATAACTTTTACACCACTAGGCAGCATTTTACCTTCAACTTCGCCTTTTTTCAATTTTTTTGACATAAATTGCTTGGGCAGTCCTCTTCGGTTTGATCTTAGCGTGCCACAGTAAAATGTTTTCTTTTTAAGAGTTCCTCTACTAAATCAAGAGAAGAATAAAAGTTGTCGGCTACTAAAATTCGTCCTTCATTTTCTAGACCCTCTATGAGCTTCATAACTACATTTTTTCCATGGTTCACTTCTCTGCTATTTCCTTCTTTACCTGTATATACTATGGTTTTAAAAGTGTACCCCTCAGGAGTACAAAGTTTATATAGTTTGACTCCATATTTATGAGATTTATTTTTGATGTATTGGCGAAAAATAAGTCTCCCGCGCCAGGGAATCATTGATTCGTCTATCACGATACATTTTCCTGGAGTTAAAATATCTCTAAAACTATTATTTAACATATTAAGTATTGGTTTAATTTTGTAGAGTCTATCTCCAGTATCATTTCTTTCATCGCTGAAATGCCAAAACTTTAGAATTAAGATAAATCTGTCTCTTCCCATGAGAGAGCATATATATTCATTTCTGTAAATGGATTTCTTTGACCAATAATCGTGAAAATGTGGAACCTTATTCAAGCCCATCGTAAGCATGACACTGAAAAACTGACGCATTTCATTTGCATCTGTAGGTTTCCAAGCTTTAGAGCGTGATTTTACAGTAATTTCTTTTTCTAATAAATATTTATCTGCATATTTATTCGTTTCTTCAACTATTTTATCTATAATATCGTCAGTTACAAACAAACTATAAATATCAACGGGCATTTTTTTATTTATATGTACATTTATGACGCTATCAAGTATGCTCTCATCGAAGCTCAATACGTCAGTGTCGGTAATGTCAATCCATTCTTTTTCATCCTCAAGCACTCCACCCTCACTTTCTGATATATTTTCAGATATATTATCATCATCTTCAGTTATTATATCGGATGAGAGATTTTCACTTATATCATCAACACTTCCATTTGAAGCGATTTCATCTATATCAGTACTGGTTGCTTCATCAGTCTGCGTCTCCGGGTCGTCTTCTTGTATTTCGTCGTTTTCTACGTTCTGTTCTAGTTCTTCCTCTTTTTCATTCTGTATTTCTAGACTTCCAATTTGTTTATTCTGGTATTTTTCTTGTCCTATTATGTTATTTTCTTGTTGCTTTTCAATGTTTCTCTCTTCTATTTTTTTTGTAAATTATTGTTCAAGTTGTATTTAGACGTTTTTCTTTCTGTTTTTTCGTCAAAGGTGAGCGCATCTTCCTCAAAAGTATACTCAAAAGAAATTGGAATATTGTTTGTATTACCTGTGGTTCTTCTTTCGTTTATAGTTGTTTTAATCAATTTTTGCATACTGCTCTCATTAAATTCTAAAGGCAATAAGCATGAATTTGAAATATTATTCAAAGACGAGCACCTGCTTGATGTACATAAAGAATTTAATGAGGCAGGAGAAGCTTTAGCATTTGTGTTCGATGTTTCTGTTAGCATTTGGTTGCACGAGGTAGGAGTAGATAAACCACCATGGTTCCGAGAATCAGTACCATAAAATCTACGAGTAGGTGTCATAGGATCAGTAGCAATACTACACCGACTATACGTCGGTGTAGTAGTCGTCATCAATAATGTGGTATTATTGTTTCTATATTTTTGACTGGATATCGTATTCTGAAGCACATTAAATCGTTTTCCAGTACATGGACTGATATATATGTTTTTATTACTTAACTGCGAGTGCTCCAACGTAGAAAGGTTTATCGGTTTCTTTTTAGGTAGGTCAAATATTTCATAATCAGAATCACTGTCAGTATTACCCAATGGGGGTAAATTTGAACATTTTCCAAAACTTTTATTTTACTGGACGATGCAGCAGTATCCGGCGTTGATTTTTTGTTAGACACCTCACCAAAATAAATAGATTTTTTACACCTTTTTCTTCTAAAAGCACTCATTGTTTATCAAAACTAATCAACACGTAGGTATATACGCGAGTGTTATTTACAAAACATGCGCGCGACCTCATATGTCGAAGCTAGGACAACACTAAAACGAGTCACGTAGCGCCCGTGCCGCCCACTCTCCCTCTCTTGCGTCTACGAGGCGTACGATTTCACGAGTACCGACATATCTCCTAACGCAAGGAATTAAAATAATTACAAAACTGTGCGTTAGGGACCTAATCCATCTCTAATTTATTTTTAATGTCCTTGAATTCAGCTTTAAGTAGGAAGCAAATATGTATATTTGTCCTGTTCATCCTTAAAGAACTCTACAAGTTAGACCCTCCCGCAAGGAGTGAAAAAACACGATTATGTTCAACGCACAATACAAAAGTCCTGCAAGAGATCTGATAGATCTCGTAACGCAGCGAACGTGTTAAAATCTGAAACCACCTTAAAATTGTTACAGACAAGCATCATTTCCTGATATTTGGATTGAATTAATAAACTGAGCCTCCACAGATTTATTCTTTATAACAGTCTTTATATCATAATTAATTGTTTTTCCAATAGATCCATGCAAGCAGGAACCAGATCCAGGTAACTGCTTAGGCGAATTCAGCAAATGGTACTACAGTGAACGGGAAGACATATGTCGAGAGTTTATTTACGGAGGATGTAATGGAAACGATAATAGGTATGTAGGTTGTTCAACAGATTTTCAAACACATAAATTCTATATATTTTTCAGCAAGACAGTTTCTAATGATGACAAATAATCTTCATAAAGCACAATATTTGATTTGAAGCAATACGAGTCCATATGATACGACAGCCATTTAAGCCTTCGGGATGAGAATAAAAACAATGTGTTTGATTGTGATTACAACAGACCAGACAAATCATCACGTATCTATAATTTAGTTACAAATAACCTTCGATCAAGATCAAACGAGACGCGCTGTCGTTTTATCCTAAGTTTTACATTTTTTGAAGTTTTTTTAACAAGAAGAGTATTTTAGTGTCGGTTAAACAAGTGTATAAATCTCCGCTCATACATTATGATTTATATTATTTACATGGAATTACTATATAAGTTTTGTTTTAGGTTTGAATCTCAAGCGGAATGTGAGAACCGTTGCCGTGTGATCAAAGATGCAACCACTAAAGGACCTTCACCTCTTACTACTCCTTCATCAACTGTGAGTCTTTGATGTATAATAATAAGAAGTCTTTTGAGTTTATTTCATGAATTTCGATAATTATGTATTTTTATTCGTATTAATAAGTTTTAGATTCATAAATTTTCTTCTACCAACTGTGTTTTTTTTCATAATTTTATTTTATTTTAGGGTGAGTGTCGTACTCCCATTTCTATTCAGCCGTGTGGTCCAAACGTGACCACGTATTATTACGACTCCAGAACAGAGGCCTGTGTTGTTGGTGATTTTGGCGCTTGCGGATATGCTAACAGTTACCGCTCCGAAGAGGAATGTGAAAGGCGATGCGGTGCTTTCAAAGGACTTGGAGGTTACTTTGTTTATTCATAATTCAATTCCGATACAAAAATTTATTCCTTTAAAAACCTTGCACTGTGGAAGTCCACGTTAGTCAACAAATTTGATATATATAATATTTACTATAATTTTGATGACAAAGTAATTTTTAGACGTCTGCAATTACCGCTTCGATACTGGCCCATGTATTCACGAAATAGAGAAGTTCTATTGGGATGCGGCATCGGAACGTTGTGTTCCATTCAAATATGGCGGTTGTGATGGCAGCCCTAACCGCTTTTCTACCTACGAGGAGTGCCAGGAGATTTGCGGCCAAACCAAACCTGGTGAGAGCTTTGAATTTTCAGCAACCGTCTTTATCGCCCAGCTTTCTGCATACCATATTTATTAATATAATACACTACAGAAACTCTATTACTCTATCGTCACAAATGTTATGCTTTTCTTCCTTCATATTAACGCTACGGGAAATATTATTTACTATGTCATGGCTTTTTGCGGGTTGGTTGGGGTTCAGACGAGTGCCTGCAGCCGGTGTCGACGGGCGAAGCTTGCAAGGCGGGGGCTACTCGCCGTTGGTTCTATAGCCAGACCACCGGAGACTGCCTCATCTTTATCTACCTGGGCTGTGGGGGAACAACCAACAACTTCCGCTCCTTCCAGGAATGTAGCGAGCGCTGTAACCGGCCGACATCTGGTACTGTTTGCTAACAGCCGCCTAATTCGCAGTTATCGTGCTATGCTTGTCTTCTTATTCTGTGCTCATTTATAACAGCTACAATTACCATATTTAAATAACTCAAACTCAAATCTTTATTGCATTCCTTATGTACAAATAAAATATTTGTTATTTATAGATTACATTAGACGTGAATTATAAGGAAGCTTTGATCTTTTTTTTTTTTTTTTTATCTTTAAATGAGTTCCGATCTATATATAACAGTTTTATAATTTGATTTGTGTGTAATGCCCGCGTTATTCAATTGTTAACATTTTAATCTATACAGGCCCTAACTGTGACGAGTATGATGCGGAGTGCGAAGCATTGAATTGCCCTTACGGTGTTCAAAGGAATGTCGAAGGAAACGGTTGTACACGGTGAGCTAAGATAAAATCAAAAGTTGTAAAGTAGATTTTTTAACATACTAATACTATGTAACTTTTCATAATTCCACAATAAGGCCAAATACTTTGTGCGTTTCGTTGTCTTCACACACATAAACTTTTCTGTGCACAAATGTATTATATTAAGTGCAAAATTTCAAAATATTAATTTCTACGATCAAGGCCTACTTGAATACAAAGGCGTCATAATTCAAGTCACAGAAGCGGTTTGACTCATGATTGGATAAACACATTTCCTTTTAAATTTGTTACTTGGTATCCATAATCCAGTTCAATGTTTTGATAAATACGTCAATTAAGGTCAATGATTATATATAAAATTCGCGTTCTAGGTGTCAATGCCTGGATCACCCTTGTGCTAGCAAAGTCTGCCCGTCGGGACAACGCTGTGCCGTCACTGGATCTTACAGGGACCCGATAACACAAAACATCCACTACACGGTCGACTGTAGACTCGGTGAGATAAGTTTTATTCAGGAATTTTTCGTAGTCCAATGAGTAGTTTATAATCATTTTAACCATGTTATCTCGCGTGTTCTATTATTTGTGAGTTATTTAAGCTCTTTGTGCCGACAACTTCAATAATTTTCAGAACCATTATAAATATAACTGTGAAGTAATAAAATGTATATTGCATTAGTATTGAGTATTGGTATATCTCTGTTGGTATTTATATTCTTTAAAAGTGCTACTACTCAAGTGTTTCAGATTGACGTTAAAAACGTAAAAAAAATTAGTAAAAAGTCTCTATAATTGAGAACATATTATTATTTATTGTGACTGTTTTTCAGCAATCAAAGCGGGATCGTGTCCAGTGACAGAATATCCAATAACAACAGAAAGCCAGTGCCGACGTGAATGTAATGACGATGCGGACTGTTCGTCGGATCACAAGTGCTGCGAACATGGATGTAGCCATCTCTGCTTGCCGCCTGCTGCCGGACTGCTAAGCACCACGACATATAGCCCTGGTATAAAATCTGATTATTGACGTGCCATAATCCAAATGGATACATGTGATTCTGTGCTGGTCCACCAGAAAAGAATTACAAGTAAACGTAACTGTTTGTTAAAATTTTACGCCTAAACACTTAAATTAGGCGCATCGCACTTGGAGTGGTCGAATTAAGTGCAGGAAAAGGAATTAGGTAAGGTTTGGTACCGTGTTCGCTCATAGGTTAAGAATACCTAAAGCGCAAATCAAATAAAGGAGCAGACAAAAAAACATAAAACTATTCTATGCCCATTAAATTTCTTTATTCTTTCATTCTTGACACAGAATCACAAACGCTGCCAGAAGCTCCACGCGCGAACTTAAATGAAACGGAACCTGATGTGCGAGCAACTGAGGGTGGCAGAGCGACATTGAGATGCCTTTTCCACGGCAATCCGCCTCCTAAGATCACTTGGCGACGAGGAGAGATCACGGTATTTTTCTTTTATTTCTTTAGTGGATTTATTTCTGTTTCATTTATAGTATTCAGACGATTCACAATTCGAAACAATACATAAGTATACATTATTTACAATGATAGAAAATCATTTTATAACCTAGGAACTGTTTGCCACTTTAGTATATTTAGGAAGTATGCTAAAATAACTTAAGTAAGTTCTTTCTTTAATAAAGTAATCTATTTGTATGACTTGTTTAAAGTCCTGTTACTATTCCCTGTTACCCAGAAGCGAATGGCATTGGCACATTTCTTTAGAGATTTTTAAACAAGTGTAAATTAGCCTTGCCTTAGCTGGAAAACGAAATTAGGACTGGATCTCATATCACGATGGTATTCCATATTATCCACTGTCCACGTGTTCAAAACAGATTACTGGAGATGTCGATCGCTATCACTTGAAGTCTGATGGTGCTCTCGAAATAGTTTCTCTGTACCGTAATGACTCTGGAGTTTACATCTGTATCGCCCAGAACAGTTTGGGTACAGCCACACAAGAGGTTAACCTGCAAGTTGAAGGTAGGTTTAATATATTAATTTGTAGTAAAATTGCTTAATTTGTAACTTCTTTTCAACTTAACAAACTGTGTCCAAATCCCGTTTAATCTAAAAGTATACCTACATGTACCTGATTTTACGATGATGTTGTACGATGTGATATGATGGTGTGATTTGCGCTTATGATCAGATGACCTACGTCATACCCTGAATCGAACTACTTGACATCGGCCACCGGGGATTTTAGGCCAGTGATTAGTCTGGCCTAGGTAGCTTTAGGTTGGAGGAATAGTTTGTCATTCTTCTTTCACAATATTATTTTCATGACAGTTATAGTTGAGAAGAAAGTGACTCTATTAAATTTTGCGCAAATTAAAATCTATAACTTTTCATAATATAGATAGCAACGAAATAATTCCGCCGACACCAGACTGTGCGGATTTACTGGAGGAGTGCGAATCATTACGCAGACAATGTCCATTCGACATGCTCCGCACGTACGTCGGTCACGACTGTGTGCGTTGTTCCTGTCCTCAGCCGGACCCCAATCGTTGCGATCCTTTCATTGTGGAGTGTCAGGCGTTAAATTGTCCGTATGGCGTACAAAATATTCAAGGAAGCGATGGATGTACTAGGTTAGTATAAATATTGGAATGTAACTCGTCGTGCTAGAAGACAGTTCACTTCACACAAAAAATTCTAAAAGCGACTTGCATTTTAAACTAAAATTGGCCATTTCATTTACTGGAACTTGGAGTTGCTTTTTCTTTTGTATTAATTACCCTTGCAAGATTGTATCAGTGTTCCTATTAACTTTGTGAAGCATTAAGCATCTTTTTATGGTATTTTTCTATCAGTCTGCATTCGATGGTAATGGTCGACTGATTCCTTCTCATGACTTCAATAGTTAAAGTAAGACATTATTGCGCCTTTTTCATTTATCAATTTTCTTTATAGGCAAATAAATAACGATAAGCATTATATACCATTCAAAGTACCATAGAAATGCCATATAATTAAATATTATACATTAGATGCCAGTGCAACCCGTCTCCTTGTGATGGCCAACAATGCGCGGTTGATGAGAAGTGCCAAGTCACACGATACAGGGACCCCATCTCTCAGGAGATAAAACATTTCGCGGAATGTAGACAAAGTATGTACTATGTATATTTACTTTAATCATGTTTTTAGTATTAAGATGCATCTATGTGTAACTTTGACCGTAAATTCTTAAATTTATGTTTTTCTTAATTTTAATTTGTATGTTTATATTTTAGTTATCAAACTTCTAATTTACAAAAGACTTGGACATTCACTGCTTTCTCGGACTGGGACAGTAAATTTAAATTAAACTACGATAGCAATTGTCATATTTATTTAAATATAATAATACATTTTCTTTTAACGTTATAGGATTCAGGCTTTACCATAGAGATAAAAGGCTTTAAAAATAAAATAAACTATAATATTTCTACAGCAAACAAGACAGGTGTATGTCCAACAATAAATTCAAGTGAAGACTGTCATGAAGAATGCCACGATGACTCGGAATGTATAGGAGTTGGCAAATGTTGTGCCACTGGTTGCAGCCAGCGGTGTCTGGTGCCTGAACCCATACCGGCTACAAGCCCCGCACCTTTAACTACTTTATACGTGCCTGGTACTTTGAAAATTGATATATTTCTTTTAAACTTAACGACATAATTTGAAGTAATAAAAAATCTGTGGCACTACAACCTCTTTAGGTCTGGGCCTCAGATTACTAAATCTGTTTCATGATCATTTTTCAATCTAATAGGCAAGTAGGTGGATCAGCCTCCAGTGCCTGAGGGGCTAAGACATGTCTGTTTCCTCACGATGTTTACCGTCACCGTTCGAGCGAATGTTAAATGCGCATATAGAAAGTCCATAGGTGCACAGCTGGAAATCGAACCTACGACCTCAGGGATGAGAGTCGCACGCTGAAGCCACTAGGCCAACACTGCTCCTTGAAACTGAAATAATAGCTAATGAAATAAATAAACTTTCTTCTATCGGATTCCTTACCGTATCAGTCAGAAGATAAAAACAAACGTGACATAACTTATGTTTATAATACATTTTTAGATACTTTGATTAAATTTGACAATAAGCAATAGTGTGCACTTAATTCAAAGAACAAAACAAATTATATCTTATCTTATAACCTATTTTAGATTGATTCAATCGAATTTTATTATAAATCAGGAATACCTCAAGCCCCTGAAGTAAACAGCGAAACAGAAGCAGAAGTACGTGCAACGGAAGGTGGGAAAGCGACCCTACGATGCCTCTTCCATGGCAACCCACCACCCAAAATTACTTGGCGACGAGGAGAAATCACGGTACCTACCTTACATATTATTTTTGTAATTCCAAAGGGACATGTGACGAACCAATTTCTGTGTATTATTTAATATTTTTATGCAAATGCATAAAAAGGGTTTTGTGATTTACTAATATTTAATACATTTTTAAGTCAAAATCGTTTATTTATATAGGTAACGCAAAAAAATATATAATTGAAATGCTTCTAATTTTACATTTACTGCCAGTTCTCAAATCAAGGGCGTAGAACGGAAGAGAAGAACTGGCAATAAACTCTCCGCTGCTCTTTTTAATCGCCAAGTTTTTTTGTTTTACACTACGTTTCTAAGGAGATGCAACCATTACACCATGTTCCACATGGCATCTTAAGTAATAAATAATAATAAAATAATTTAAAACAAAGATTTGTCCACTATCAGTGTAGTGACTTGTCTAGAGCCATATTTTTAAATAAAAAAAAAAGGGTGCGTGTACTTATGTACGCGCGTAAGAAGTTATACTTCTTTGGCATTATTAAAAATAGTTTGGCTTTGTTCCACCTCCAGTTTTTGATGTTTCACAGCGATAAGATGACAACTCTTTTTTTGTATTCAATTTAGTGCACTTACACTGATTCATCAATTGTTTTTTGTCTCTTGTCCTTATATTTGCTAGAGAAAAATTACATGTTTTGATTAAACAATGTGGTAATTTTTTTAATCAAAACATTACTCGATAATAATAATACAAACTGATAGTTAACCTCAATTGTAATGAAGCACTTAGGAAGGTTGATGAGCACAGTTTTTTCACAAATATTAATTAGTATTGGTTTAAATATTCAATTTAAATCACTTCTGATTATATATAATTCAAAAAGCATTGCTAAATTTCTTTGAAAAATAATTAAAACTCCTTTATTCGTTTAAAAGGTAAATGACAAATGTCATTATGGTCATTCAAAATTCTTGGCATACGAACTTCACGCATATTCTATTTCTTTTTACTTGTAGATTGTCTTATTCCTATCTCGCTCGCGCACGCTATAATCACACTCCTAATTTTGTGTCACAGGTGCGCGCGCATCGTAAAATTTCACTCTCATAAATTTTTCATAACGCGCCTAAAGAAGTATAACTTCAAAAACCTTGTTAGTGTGACAATTTATATCTATGTATACAGATTGATGGAGATGTTGGTCGTTACCGACTCACTGCTGACGGAGCGCTCGAAATAGTTTCTCTGTACCGCAACGACACTGGAGTTTACATCTGCATCGCTCAAAACAGTCTTGGCACGGCCAGGCAAGAGGTTAACTTGCAGGTCGATGGTGAGTTTTATCACTTAAAGGTTTCGTAATCGCAACAGAATGCTTAAAGTCATTTCAAAACTTACTGGCAATTTCTGTTACGATTTCGGCTTTGCTAGAAACACAAGTAGCATTAGAATTTACTTGAATTTTCAATTGAATGTTATGCACGATCTATGCACATATCTTTCTATTTCTTTCTTAAAGTAGTCTTGTTCATAAACATACTATGTTGTAATAAGTATTGCTTAATATAGACAAAATATTCAGGGCTATTTGAGACTTTATAGTATCTTTGTGAATACGAGGGTAACAATGATTGCAAGATCTATTCTATTATTTTCTTAATGACACAATGGGCGGTAAAATAATCTCTTAACTGTCTCTGTATGTGTATAGTTATCGACATGCGAGATGACTCGCGTGCTAACAACCTCTAATGACATATTTTCGATAACGTAATTACGGTAGAGAAGAATAATAATGCAACTTGGTGAATTAATTCCATAAAGTACGAATTTCAGCGTTATTCGTTTTATTTTTATGCTACCAAATCGTTAAATTTAATGTTATAAAAATTTAAATATTTATTTTCAAATTGTATAACAAAGCTGCTTGTTTACGTTACTGAGATCTTATCCAGATGTTTCTACCGAAAATAAAAAGTTACAACACTTTGCTAGTATGGTAATGGCTAGTGTTTTTGCAGTATACAGAGACAGTACATTGACTGATCTGGTTGGCGCCAGTCTGCCTCCACACGCCGCGATGTTACCGCTTATTGTGTTAACTTTTATTTCTGGGTGCGCGGGTGCAACGCAAGGTTTACTAACGTCAAATTAATTAGCCTTCGCATTATATATTCTGTCAACATAAATACTTTTACTACGCCAAAATGTTCAAAAAGTATAAGTTTAGATTACGTTCTTCATCTAATTAATGTTTAACGCAAAGGCTAATTAAGATAAGTTTTGTTTTTGGGTAGTTCATTAACATGAGTTTGCAAACTGTTTTTGGTCTTGTGATCCTTCCTTTTAATAACGAGTAAAGGACAAAAAACATCTGCAAGCTCAAGTAGAATAGTTGCTAATAATATGGGCACGGTTAGATCCTGTGGACGATCCTGCTGGAATCAGCAATGTACCAAATGAGATCATTTATGGAAGCCTGGGAGAACCACTCAATATCCGATGTCTTGCATTTGGCTACCCTCCACCATCCATCTATTGGTACAAAGGAAAAAGTGGCCCAATGATTCCATACAGCAGCACACTGTATGAAGCAAGAGGAAATGTTTTACAAATTCGTCAGTTAAACGCGGATACGCTCGGAGAATATATTTGCCAAGCTTATAATGGTTTTGGAAAACCAGCTGAATGGGCCTTTGAAGTGCAAGAACTGACAGCTAAACCTATTGGAAACTATATAGATCCCCTTTTGTCTCTGCCGTCCCAAGAACCTCAAACTGAAGGAACGACTACACAGGCGCCTAAAATTGAAGTACCTGTTTATACTGGTAAGGTCAAGCCTGTTTGGGGAGCTTTTTGCATGTGATTTTTTTAGTTAATGCATGCTGCTTGGTTATATATTGGTACTATTGCATTAAGTCTTATAGCTACAAAATTATTTGACGTCGTACGTATTTCACTGGGTAAAAAGTAAGAAGTTAAGAAAATATTCAATAAAGTTTTTAATAATTATTGTACGTTCATGAATTTTATGGATGTAATACGATAAGTATGGAAATTCGCAGTGATTTTATTGTATTCAAAAATCATATTATATATAGAGTTTAACCTTTACCCTTGGTAACCGAAGACACGTGACGCCTTGCCAGTAACCTGTAACTCTCAATAGCGTTAGCGATTGCTATTGTCTTCAATGTTAAGTTGCAGGCACTTACCCGAAGCGAAATCAGCGCTACGAACATTAGGAGAAGTCTTCAAAGATCCAATTTTTTTACGATATATTGGAAGTTACGGAGAACCGGTGCTGAGGTTACGTTTTAACTCCAAATGTGTCAATAGATTTTCTATCTACCTATGTGCGCATATTATACTGGACGAAGGAAACATCGCGAGGAAACATCCACTAATGAAGTGTGATGTATTTAAAATTCGGGATACATACTTAGCGCCAAAATCGGTGGCGTGGTTTACTTACTGATAACACACTAATTGTTTTTAAACAAAAATGCTTAAAGCTACTAATGATGATTTGTTTCTTGTATTATTCATTTAATCGTTCAATAATAATGTCCTTCTAGTACCTGTGACGACGAGGATATTAGCTGAAGCGAGCCAAGTGTCTGCTGGGACAGTGATCACAGTGCCTTGCGAGGTTGACGGATACCCTGTACCTGTTGTTAGATGGTCAAAGGATAATGTTCCTTTAGAGTCAAGCAATAGAATACAGATCACCGGTGAGTATTCTAATAAACTTAACGTACGTATAAGTTTGTAATATAAAATAAAAGTTATATAATATTCATATTTCATTAGATTAACAAATTTAATTAATATTTAAGTGAATCAATTTAACACTTAATATCTCACAAATTTATCTAAGTTAAATATTATATTATAAGCCCAATACAAGAAAGACGTTGGGTTGGCCTTTTGAGGATTTTTATTAAAATAATGAGTTTAATGAAAATATAAAACATGAGTTACTTAGCGAAATGTTTTACATTTCTATACAATGCTACATTGATGATTTTCGATGAAAATTTCCAGGGTCGTTACAAAGACTGTCGAAGACTATTATTTTATTAATTCACTCACACAGAGCAAGTGTTCTGTGTTATGCCTTACTTACATAAGGAATAATTTATTACTTACAATCCATTGGACGAAAAGTATTTAAACAGAAATATATGTACCTAAATCATTTAATTCATTTATAATAATGTATTTCTCTTGCAGAGGCGCGCCTGACGATATCCCACGCGAACACAAATGACACTGGAGAATACGCGTGCGAAGCCAGCAACGGTTACAGCTCGCACTCATCCACAGTTAGGATTATTGTTGAAGGTAAATATACCAAAGACACCCAATCAAACTGCAGAATATTAAATCATTGTTAAAAATTTCGAAATATATTTCAATTCGTATAGAGCAGGTATGATGTTATCATGGTACCATGTATCAATTATATGGATTTACAAATATTTTTATTTATATCTCAAATAAACACGCAAATTTAATATTGCCTCAATTTACCTTCCATCCATGCTGCTGCTGTATCTTTAATATTAGGTCCTTACATATGAAATTGGCGTATTTCGTACTGGCCACTTTAATCACGATGTTCTCCTCTTTGGTAAGGAATTAAAAATTCAAATTTGTACAGCTATTTACTCATGTATTTCTGCTTCGATGACGGTCATTCATTTGTTTTTTTCACTCATTTTACAAAATGGAAAACTTAAAGTATCGCATTATTTACGAGTACGAGTTCCGCCGTGGCACTAGTGCTGCGGAAACGACTCGAAGAGTGAATGATTCTTATAATGTGTTTATAAAACTTTAGAATGTTGTATGCGCCTATAATTGGGGTAGCACTTGGCTTGTGTTTGTGTTTGTGTTACATTGCTTGTATTAGTGTTTACTTTGTTGGTGCATAAATAAATAAATAAATAAAATAAATGTGTATGGCGGTCATGTTGCAAAAGAAAACACAGTTCGTTTTTGGTTTCAACGTTTTCGTTCTGGAAATTTCGACCTGCAGAACAAGCCCCGTGGACGGTCTGAGACCCAAGTTGATAATGAAGTATTGAAGGCTATTGTGTAAGCGGATCCATCGCAAACCACGTTCGAGTTAGCTGCAGGCTGCGGTGTTAGTGATAAAACTGTTTTAATTCACTTGAAGCATATTGGGAAGATTAAAAAGCTTGAAAGATGGGTACCTCACGAATTGACTGAAGCAAACCGGCAAACGCGCGTCGACTGCTGCGTTACATTACTGAACCGGCACAATAATGAAGGTATTTTAAACCGAATCATTACCTGTGATGAAAAATGGATTCTTTACGATAATCGGAAGCGCTCAGCGCAATGGTTGGATCCTGGCCAGCCAGCCAAATCCTGCCCCAATCGATAATTAACCCCAAAAAAGTTACTTGTAAGCGTTTGGTGGACTAGTGCCGGTATTGTTCATTGCAGTTTTCTCAAATCTGGCCAGACTATTACGGCTGATGTCTATTGTCAGTAATTGCAAACCATGATGGAAAAGCTAGCGGCTAAACAACCTAGGCTGGTCAATCGCTCCACGCCACTGCTACTTCAGGACAACGCTAGACCACACACTGCACAACAGACGGCTACCAAATTAGAAGAGCTTCAATTGGAATGTCTAAGACATCCTCCGTACTACCCGGACCTTGCTCCAACAGATTACCATTTTTTTTCGAAATTTGGACAACTTCTTGCAAGGGAAAAAATTTAACTCTGATGGGGCAGTCCAAATCGCCTTCACAGATTTTATTGATTCCCGTCCGACTGGTTTTTTTAGTAAAGGGATCAATGAACTACCTATGAGATGGCAAAAGTGCATAGAAAACAATGGTTCATACTTTGATTAATTAAATATATTATATTTAAAAATATTCAACTTTTTGTTCCTCCCATACAAAACGCCAATTTCATATGTAAGGACCTAATATAAATTAGAATAAAATAATGAAAAAATATCCTGTATTACATAAACAGGATTTAGGATTTTCAGGATTACATTAAGTCCATCATTATTACCTCTGACGAAGTGAAGGCCTTTTCCAAATGTATTTTTTTATTTTATTTTGATTTTACATTTAATGAATTTTTGAACACTTCCACAGGAATGTATATCCCGCCGACTTGCAAGGACAATCCCTACTTCGCCAATTGTCACCTCATCGTGCGCAGTAACTACTGCCATCACAGATATTATTCACGGTATATTTATTTAATCTAAATTGTAGTTCAAAAAAAATACAAAATAAGCATTTGGTTCGAATTTTCACATACTCTTTTATTTATAGGTTCTGTTGCAAATCGTGTGTGGAAGCCGGGCAGCTAGTTCCTTCCGAGCTGGAACTGATGCAGGGTGACGAATCCTTCAAAAAGAAGTAGACTATAATAGTGTTTAATCTATACTGTCAAATTTATCTTTAACAAAAATATATATAGCTATTAGCCAGCCTTTCTAGAACGCGGAATCAAGATAGTATCGTGTTACGATTATTAAGACGAAAACATTTTATTCCACATTTCAAAACGCTTACAATCTCAATGAAGCTATAACTATCAGATAAAAACGATATTTTTATACTAAACTCAATAAAAACTAAGTACAATTGAAGCAACTGTTCATTTCAATACCCATGTGCCATAATTAATGTATATTTATTTAATTAATTTTCAAAACATATCGGTCAATGATTTTCATTGTATACGATTTCTATACAATGTATTACTTTTGTATTAATTAGCTGGTTCTAATACTCCCTAACAGTATAGGTTATATAAATGTTTAAGCGTATGTAAATAATTAAGAATACTTAATGTCACAACTAGATAGGACACTTTTATTTTGTTTTCAGTCACAATTAGCAAATTATGTATTATGCAAAGTTATATAACGCCAATAAGGTTTCTATTGTTTTAATAAGTATATAAGTTATCTATTATGTGAATGTGCAATTAAATTGAGGCCTCATGTTATATAAGTTATTTATTTCATTTAATTTTTAAATGAAATTAAGTTACACTAGGGAAACATAATAATGTGAGTCATAATATTTTTTAAGTCAATCGAAAGTGACAAGTGTAAATAATATGAACGAAAATAAACATTTATGACAATATCATCTTTTTTATTTAGCGTACCTAATACCCAATTTCTGTATTGCTACCTATATAAGACGCCTAGCACAGAGCTGTTATAACGCATAAATGAAGTGCCTCAAAGTAAAACTATATAGGCAAATTCACACACTAATGAACGTTTAAAACAAGGTCGTAGAATAGACGGGAAAAACGGTCGGCTCCTAAATCTTGGTAATAAAAGATAATAATTTAAGGGGTATATCACAAACATATTTGTATTGAGATAAAAGGAAATACGGTATGAGGTAATATATATCTTTTAGGCCACTAGTTAAACGGCGCTGTTAATTAAAAGGCCAGGCTGCTAATTGAACGTCTTATTAAGCTAGTTGGCTGCGACATAATCTCTCAATACTGAGCATTCAACCTATTCCTGGAACGTTGCTAATCACAGAGGCCACGTCAGGTGCTTCTTACATTTATGCCATCGTGACCGATACAGATCGTCCCATGTATTAATTTATTTATCAACACTTCGTTGCATTAACATAATAAAAATTTAACATAATTAAATGAAATGGAGGGCAACTGACAGCCTTATCTTTCGAGCGATCTCTTCCAGGCAACCACAGTGAAAAAAAAATATTAAATTAGATAAGGTAAGCAAGAAGTGCAAAAATACATAATACATATAGTTATTAAGACAAAACTAAACAGGAAAAAAAAAGGCTTTCTGACGCGCAGAAATAACGAGACCGAGAATTTCACTGAGTTATTTCTTTTCTTTTTGGCTCGATTGTTAAGTATGGACGAAACATGGCTTTACTAATATAACCCGGAAACAAAAGAACAGTCAATGGCTACCACTGGTCGAATACTTTAAACATTGAGCCACTATTACGGCGACTTTGTACGCGGGACAAATCCTAGTAATTTTTAACTATTTCCGCGGTTAAACGAACATCTCAGGGGCCATATTTGAAGACGATGACGAGTTACTCGATAAAAGATTTTTTTTGATCAAAAAGATTTTTTAAAAAGAGAAGAAGTTTATTAACCTAATAGGTTATGTCCAAAAAATAAAATAACATTTATTAAAAGATAATTGCGTCATGCTCATTATTACTTTTCATTGAACAACCTAAGTAAATAACAGTATAAAACAGTGACTTTGCATGCATTATGCCTTAAATATCTGCGGAGTTTTCGACGAAAAATCGACGCGCGAAAATCTACGGTATTTATACGTTGTCAACCATGGTTCATAATATATCCCGTGGGATATTATTCAACATAAATAAAGCGAAGAACCGCTAGTTATACAAATACAGATAACATTTGAAGAAAGATTTTGTTGACTTATAAATATTATATACTTCCTATATGTGGAGGTCAGCACTCAAAGTTATCTTAAGTCAAAGTGATAAAGTTTCGCATTTGATGACACCCAGAAATACATAATAAAGGATGTACATTTTCATCAAAATTGAACTCCCATAGTATAATGTATTTTTCCGCATCAATACTTTGAATTTTTAAAATATATGAATTAACACCTCGTTGCATTCAAAAATATAATACAGTTGACATAATTAAATGAAAGGGCACCTGGCAGCCTTATCGCTTTCGTGCGATCTCTTCCAGGCAACCAATGCGAGAAAAAAATAGAAAATATGGCGAAGGGGCCGATGGCTGGTCATGCGTCATACTCGTGAACGGTGATGACTGGTCGTACTTGAATTCGTGTATGCAGTGATGTTAGTTATTTCGACTATGTGTTGTAAGTGCGTGCTCCTATTTCACCATGCCTCCTGCTGATAGAGGACAAGTCTTTGTTTTTTTTATGTTATTATTATTAATTACTTAATATGTCATGTGGAACATGGTGTAATGGTTGCAGCTTCTTACAAACGTTGTGTAACAAAAAATGGCGATTAAAAAGAGTGGCGGAGAGTTTATTGCCAGTTCTTCTCTTCCGTTCTACGCCCTTGATTTGAGAACTGGCAGTAAATGTAAAATTAGAAGCATTAATATGTATTTCTGAACTGACGAGTCATAAGTGTACATAATGTTACCTATATGATTAAATGATTTTTTACTTTACTTTTTATAATATATCGTGTTCATATTATTTTCATGTACCATTGTAATAATAGAGGTAGACTGTATACTAGCCTGGCTTTAGTGGTATGAATGAAACAAATTTGCTGTCTGAGATATTCCTCAACTTTTGTAGTACTTCTTCCAGTTCTACTTAGTATATTACTCTACTAAGGTATAGTACTCCGCCATCTAAGAACAACAACAAAACGGCCTTTGTATTTATATTAGTTTTACTACGCTACGATTTTTTTAATAAGTTGTTTGTTTTACATTTATCATCGAGTTTTTAAGTAAATGGGGTTTTCCTTTTTTAATAACAACCTGTATACGTTTATTATTTGACATCAAATGCAATCTTTCTCCAGTTATCCATCAGCGTTGCGATCAGTTTTCATGCAATTGCTTCTGTGAGACAATCTCATTACAAAATGTCGAGAATTGCATTGCTCCTGATTTTAGTTCAGTCTTTAATATTTGTGGCTTCCGGACCTTACAATGGTTAAGTATTGTCTGTCATAATTAGTCGGACTGTTCCTATAACTTCGGTGCAGCCAATTTGTCATATCTGGAATTGATCTAAGAATATTAGATTTTTTTATTTTATCTCATATAAATTTAGAATCAATTTAACATCTTTTCTGTTGACGTTCATAAGTGTGCTTGGTTACCTACTCGTATTAATGAGTTTGAGTTTATAAAAAATAATTTATACGACGTATTTTATCAAAGTTAGCAAAGTTAATAAATGTTCAATGTTTTAGGTATATTATGATGAATGACTACTTACAATGTGTTTGCGTGTTGTTGCCATAGTAAGAACATGCATGCATGCTTAGAGATAAAACTTTCGGTTTTCTTATTTATTTATTTTTTAATTTTATTAAATTACAATAATTAACAGCTTTAACATGTAGAGGGGCAATGCAGTTGTTGCAAATGCTTACTAACGATTCGTAATAAAAACCTTGGCGATTTAAATGGGAGAGTTTATTGCGAGTTCTTCTCATTCGTGCCTTGATTTGAGAATTGGCAGTTAATAAAAATTTAGAAGCATTTTTTTATGACATTATGTTACCTACATGAATTAATGATATTTTGATTAAATATCAGATCAAAATATTAAAATTTACGTATAGTATTATCCTCTTTCAGGCCTCCACATACCGTCTGAATGTACAGATAATCCTTTTTTGCTGATTGTACACTTGTTGTGCGGAGTAAATTCTGCAACCACAAGTTTTACTCGCAGTAAGTATTGCATCAACATTCTAACCAAAACTGCATGTATCAACTGAATTATTATTATTAAAATTTATTGAGAAATGTTTTTTACTGTTATTTATATTTTAAAAAAGGTAAGCTTTACGCCTGCTTAACAACCGCCTGAATAACTTGCATGAGACTCATGATGTCATAATAATAATAATATACTCAATTAAATTTTCTAGGTTTTGTTGCAAATCCTGCATCGAGTCTGGACAAGTGGACCCTATGAGAACTTTAAACCACCTTGAAGATGATTATTGGAACTAGATTAGCACATTTCTCGACTGTAGATCCCAAGTCATAAATATGGTGCCAATCGTCTATACTCCTACTAAATTCACTTAGCTAGAAATACTTATTGCTTATGCGTTATAATAAAATGTATTATCGGTTTAATTTTATTTATTTAACTAGATGACCCCGTGAACTTTGTTTCACCAACATAATATTTTGTGTCAAAACTTTTAAAACAGACCAAATTGATCAGACCTCATACAGCATACTACATATACTACTAATACTATGAAACACATATTTCAGAAAGCATCTACAAATAAATGTCAACCACATTACAATTTTTTATTTCTAAAATGACGTCAAATTTCCCAACTACGAATAGTTTTTCTAATGTTTCTTTAATTGTTATTTACGTTTCACACCGTTTAAACCCTCCCTGATCTTCCACAAATATTTCAATCATAATTAGCCAAATCGGTCCAGCCGTTCTGGTGTTTTAGCGAGACTAACGAACAGCAATTCATTTTTATATATGTTACTGTAAAAGCTCGAACTGCAGTAAATCCTAAGATATTCCAGTAAAACCTAAGATCTACCAATTCCTAATGGTAAATGTCCCAAAAGGTTTGCGATTCAAACTCTTACCACCATTCCGTTGGTAAATCCTAGGATTTACATTAATGGCACGGTAAATGTTGAAAAACAAAACATGACTAGCTTATGTAAGCATTATGTTTGTATTTCGTTGTTAAATTCCAAATAGAGAACTACTGATTCATTTAGATAGATATGATAGAGATTGAGATATTCAGAGATATACGTTATGTGTTTTTTCAAAATAATTTAAATAAGTTGGTATTAGTTTTTACTTATTACTATCATATGATACCTATATAATACTATGTACCAGTTTTGTCTAAAAGTTCATTAAAGTAAATAATTAAGAATTACTCATTGTTTTATTCCTAAAACCAACATCTACCAGCTGACAGTGGTAAAACCTAGCATTTATACTGAATTCGAATGGTAAAAGCTCGAAAATATCGTCGTATCAGAAATACTTACATTTACCAACTCGGTACAATAAATCCTAAGACTTACACTTAGATCTTAAGATTAACCGTAGTTCGAGCTTTTACGATAGATAGATAGATAGATTGGTATAGTTGTTTAAAATTACTAATTATACTGATGCCTCGCTATGTCAGCTCACAGAAAGACACAAAAAATTTAGTGAAATTATTAATCAATGCCAGTATAAAGCCAATATAAGCTATCATAAAAACTATACATACAATGATTTTACGATAAACTAGATGAATTAACAAAAAAAACTATTTCTAGTATGGTGATATAAGAGAACAATTATACATTGGAAAAAGGGAAACGCTTTTAACAAATATGATTAGAATTTTATTAATACATTTGATATTAATCAAACGGAAGAGATAATATGCGTCAATTTGACTAAAACACAATGTTCAGTTCAATTTAAGTTGCGTCTTTTGTAGTTACATCGTTTTTTAAATATATTTTACAGTGAGGTAATACATAAGAGTGTATCATGAAAGGGACTGTCTCAGGGTAAGACGAACCTATTGTTTTTTCAACTTAATCACCTAAAATCCATTTTAATTTTTTTATATATTTCATTGTTATTTTAGATTCGTGTTCTTCATAGCCATCATTATAGACAATTCTCAGACTCAGGAAACAGGTAAAGAATAATATATTGTGTAACGTCCAAAATATAAAAGTCTGTAATACAAGTACGCCATTGATGTTTTATAACGCTTAAATAATCGCGAATTTATGCGATTTTAAAAGCTTAATAATACAACGATCTTTTCTATGGTCACATCTTTAACCGAAATGAATATAGTTTATGATTGGGAAAAACCCAAATTTGTTTAATGGTCATATTACAGATTCCGTAAATGATGAAAATGATAAAATTGACTTCGAGGGATTTCGAGGTTATAAATACTCTACTGAAGCTGCAGTAGAGGCATATACGTACACACTGGTCTGTATTTGTATTCAATAATCTAAGGTTAATAATATTGTAAAACGTTTTCAAGTTTCGGCAGTGCAGCTTACTATATTTTTTCTAACACTACGCGAAAGCATAAAAATGCTTTAATTAAGTAATTTTTTTGATAGTTTGAATTACTAGGTAATGTTTTAATCTTTTAGGTAGGATATGGTGCTTTTACGTTTCCTTCTGAATTATGGACGTCGGAAAATAGCATTCACTCCACTTCTACAATACAAGCGGATATAGATTACACAGGTAACACTATCTTACGTATGTTATTTATATAAACAAGAGTCATAATATTGTTAAGTAATTTCTGAGCTGTTATTTTTCATATCAGTCAAACTACAATAAGTCACTGGAATAGATTTATGATCCCAGAACATCTGCTTTATTAAACTTGACGACGAATAAATTTCACTTGAATTTTTCTAATAGATTCACAAGGGAATGTTAAGTTCTGCGAGACAACAGTTTACGGCTGCTGTTTGGACGGTGAGACTCCAGCGCATGGACCTCAGAACGAAGGCTGCTGTTTGCGATCCAGATTCGGTTGCTGTCCCGATAACTATAAGCCGGCTGAAGGACCGCATCTTGAAGGTACTCTGAAGACATTACTACATTACTACACAATGATATATCGTTTCCTACCTATAATTTTTATCTTAAAAATGTTTCTTGTTAAATTTTATCCTCAGGCTGTAGCTGTATGAATGCCCACTATGGATGCTGCCCAGATAATGTAACAATCGCTCGAGGAACTAAATACGAGGGTTGTGGCTGTCAATACTCTCTGCATGGCTGCTGCCCTGACAAGTATTTTTAATTGTTTTGCACAAATTTAATTATCTAAGTTATTTAAATAAATATGACTATACTTATATTTTTAAGGCTCACTCCAGCCAATGGTGTAGACTTTGAAGGTTGTGGATGCCATACGTATCAGTTTGGATGTTGTCCTGACGGTATCACCATCGCCATAGGGCCATATCTACTGAACTGTTTATGCCAAGAAACTATATACGGCTGCTGTGGAGATGATGTCACCGAGGCTAAAGGACCGAATAAAGAAGGATGCGATTGTTCTAGTAGCAAATATGGATGCGATGCTGATGGTATTACTGAGGCTGGTGTCGACACGTTTCAAAATAATACAGTCATACTAAATATAAATGAAGGTAAAATTGTATTCTTTAACACGTTGGAATTATCGTCATTATTTTATATTCTAAATTATATATCGAGACCATATCCGTATTGAACAAATAACTTTTCTTTTTACCTACTACTTCTAGGAGAATTTGAAAATACGCTCTTTCCTTGTAGAATTCTTTAATGCATTCTCGCTTTCGAGGCGAGGACGATTTGCAAGAGCGTTTAAACCTAGGCTGGGACTTGCTACCGATCGGCACTGCAGAGAATGGAATAAAAAGTTCCATATCCTGCAGGACCACTTCGGCGACAGATTTACTTCTGTTTAACAAAAGCCAAGCCTTTTGTGTGTTTAGTGTTAGAGAAAAAAACATTGTTTTAAAAATTTCATAGATGAATGTAACCTTTCGCTGGAGCGTGGTTCGTGTGCTGGTAACTTTCTCCGCTGGGGCTATGATCCCAACTCGCGCCGCTGCTCTCAGTTTATTTGGGGAGGTTGTGGTGGTAATACCAACAGATTCAACTCAGAAGCCGCCTGCATGCAGCAGTGCAACCCTCCAGGCGTCCTGCAAGGTGACAATTTAAAATTAGATCTTGCTTAATAGACTTTTTTTAGACTTATAATAATAATTCTTACACAGCGGAATGCATTCTTCCACAAGAGGCAGGCAACTGCACTGAAAAGCGGCCTGTCTGGTCTTTTAGTCAGACTAGCAACAAATGCGTGCCCTTTTATTACACAGGCTGTGGAGGCAACAATAACCGATTTAACAGTGAAAAAGAGTGCGCGAACGCATGTGCAAAACGTAAGCATTTGTAAGATTATACGATATTAATAACTATTAATCCTACCTACTCATAAAAATTAGCGGTAGTATTATTGTTTTTTCATATAGGGGCAATAGCTGAAAATAAAATCGCTTAAGTTCTGTAAATTAAATTTATATAGAATTTTTTTTATATTGCTTGGAATTTTCAGAGAAGGAAGACATATGCACTCTTCCTCTTCTATATGAAAATTGTTATCACTGTTACCCACGTTGGTTTTATGACATGACGACTAGAAGGTATTCCAAAAATTATAATTTACGCTATAAAGTCTAAGCAAAAACTTCACATTGTTTAAGAATGTTATATTAATTTAGCACGGGGATACTAATGGTATGGTATAATACGATTTTTAGGTGTAGAATGTTTTTCGGAAATGGTAAAAATGCAAACAATTTTGACAACAAAGAAACGTGCATGAATCAATGTGAAGAAGAATTCGAGGTAGAAATTGTGCGTCCCGAGATAGAAAAGCCCAGTAAGTAATGTTTTCCCAAATAGTAACAATTTTTTTCTTTTTAACTTTAAAGTCTATCGTTAATATAGAAAATATAAGTAGATCTATTTAAAAAAAAATATATTTTATACAAAATAACTTGACCTTCCTAAATAGTAAGTTTTTTATTAAATACAAACTGTGACTGATATAAATCCAAATTTATCAAATGTACTGACATATTTTGTACACAGGCGTCTGTCATCTGAACCTAAATAGTGGACCCTGCTCTGATACCATAAATCGATGGGGTTATGATACTCAGAGAGATGCCTGTGTGCAGTTCCAATACGGGGGTTGTGGGGGCAACAAGAATAACTTCCCATCAAAGGAGATGTGCCATCGCCAATGCATGTTGCAAGGTAAGATAAAGGAAGCCTTCGTTATAAAAAAATACTAACGAAAAAAATTTAATTGACAAATTTACCTATTATCCTATAATTATTTGGTAACTAAATTAAATTTGTCTTGGGAAGAAGGATTCATAAAAGACTTTTATGGCTTAAACAGTTCATTTCTTTAATAATTATGCATTCCTATTACAATTCAATATGAATATTCTCAGGGGATATTGAGAGATTTCGTTTATTCGCTGTGTACCTGTTTTTGTCTAGTATTATAAAGCTAATCGTACTTTATTACTGCAGTATTCAGTTTTTCTCTCTCATTCTTTATTTGCGTTTAAATAAGAAGATTCTCTTCTATTTCGAAAAATACAATGTTTCTTTGTCTTACTTGTTTTTCCAAGAAATAAGACTTCAAAAGGAAAAGGTTGACATATTTTTCTTCTAATGTTCTAAATTTTTCTTCCATAATGTTATTTATATTTTGTGTTACTTGTTCTGTCACTTTTTCTCCGCGTTTTTGTTCATCCAACTCTTTTTGGATGTGGCGAAGTGCATTCATAATTTCCTCCATAATTTGTGGGTTTGTTTTGAATTAAATGTGTACAATGTTATTTATAGTACCGGTAGTGTCCTCTAGTGATCTTTTACTGAACTATTAATTTAGACGAAGTGGTTGTTGGTTTTTATTTGATTTCATTTGCGTGGCGATTATTTATCGATGTTTCTTTTTCTGCCTGTACGTGAGCAGTCAAGTTACAACAGATGGCGCTGATTTCAATTAATTTATTGAAATTTGCCAAATCATCTAGTACAGATTACAGATGGGCGGACGTATTTAGATTTTTTTGCTTCGTGGCTTAATTAATGGACTAACGAAAAATCTTTATTCATAAAGTGATTTAAATTTACGGTCATTTGATAAAATAAATATTGATAAATGTTTTTTAGTAAATTAAATTGAGATATCGCACAATAATCAAGTTTTAGTAAAACAGTATGCATAAAATGGTCCGTTACGTCACTATATTCAAGTAGTTGTAATTCTAAAACTATGTTGTTATTACATTAAATATAACCTTAATATAATAGTAGAAGCACTAATCTTTCATTATAATACAAAATCATACATCAAATCCTTTTATTTTAATGCAATTTGCCTAATTTAGTCCATTACGTCACTTTATTGTCTTTTATTGTCTTTATTTTTTTCTTTAATCAGTCAAAAATATAGATTTTTTTCATTAATTTATAGATTTAAAGCATAGTGTACTCACTGGTTATATTTGGAACATAGCATGTTTTTATATATTTTAAATAGATATCAAATTAAATATAATTTTCGTCTTCAAAATAATGGGACCGTTACGTAATAGGAATTCTCATCTGACGTAATGGACATGTAAAGGCATGCAAATGACAGGAAGAAACCTGACATTTAAAAAAAAGAAACTACTTTTTCATGACCAGTGTTTTATTAAGTATTGAAGAAATACAAACATGAAACATAAGGTTTTTATTCTTAAACCTAGTAGTAGGGGAGCCCAAGCGGGGATTTCGGGATTTACTAAAGCGCGGTAGATTAATATACAGGGGGATACCTTGTACCCGGTTAAGTACCTCCACAAAACATGAGGCCCATATATAAGGCCGCCCGTGAAGGATACAGGATCAGATTAGTAAAAAAAATTGACCATCAGAAATTCTCGAGCGCGTCACATTAAGGTAGGGTGAGTTAATTACATCCTAAAAAGTGTATATTCCACTAATCTGACAATTTGAGAGTGACGTAAAAAAAGGGGAGGGCAACAAAGTTGTAAAAAAAACGTCATCTCGACATTCTCGAGCGTAGCTAAAATTTTTTTTTATTTTGAAGGAAATAATGCGTGATGCCTAAATTTCCTTAAACCGATCGGAATCTACTAAACGGCGTTCTAAATATTTCCCTCAAAATTACATTTCCTGCGGTTGATTCGTTCGAGAGATATCGTGAACGAAAGAAACCCGAAAAAGTGTTTTTTCGGGATTACTCCGAAATTTGTGGTTCGATCAATTAAAATTGAAATTAAAAATTACTTATGAGGATGATAAAACTGCGTCGAATGCCGCCAACCGCGTGAAAATTGCTTGATCCATTCAAAAGTTATTGCGGTTTGAAAATTCCAAAAATAGTGTTCTATGAAACTTCTATTAGACTTTCGAGCTGGGAGAGCTCAAATGCATAGAAATATTATTTCTTTGAACTCAGCGAGCTCAAAATATCAATTTTAAGCGCCCAGGAATGGAATTAGCGGGAAGTTGCAGGGATGGCCTTTAAGGTGAACCGTTTTTCTAATTTTTTTTGTCAGATCAGGCGAATCCCTCTAGATAATCGTCAGATTATGAGATGAACATAAAGATGAACCATATATATCTTAATCTGACGCGCTTGAGTATTTCAAAATGGCGAATTTTTTTTGCACATTATGATTTTTTCATTTTCAACCCTTAAATACAACCACCCGCATCATGCAAACGATCAGATTAACTTATTTAACGTACATTATTTAAAATACGTAGGGCATTGATGCTATCAATATCTGACGCGCTCGAGGATGTCCAGGCAACAGTTTTTTTTTACATATTTAAAAATCTATAGCCGCTTCCCCCACCGATGTAAAGGTATATATCATATAACATTTTTTTCTTCTTATCATCTAAGCTTTGCATCCCAATAGGTCTCTACGACGCTCGAGTGAATCCCCATTTAGCATCGTGGGCTTCCCTACTATAGACACAAGTACACTTTTGAAGCTACGAGTTTCAGGTCAGTCTTATTCATAATTTACTTTATTTAGATCTTTAAACGCATGAAGCATGTTCCTGTTGTACTTTAGCACTTTTTATAAATGGGAGCCTTGCCTGAATTAGTACCTGGTCATAATATGAAGTAGTCCTTATAGTATTTATATTTTTTTTTGTCCACTAATACATATATATAGCCGGCCGGTTTTAGATCCCAGATTAAAGATGTTTCTAACCCAAAGTTTATAAGAAAAAAGCAATCCACAAATGAAATAGTAAATTACGCAGTGTGGGAAATGACTAAGAATTCAATAAAACTAACCTTGTGGTAGGGGAGCCCAAGAGGGGATTTCGGGATTTACTAAAGCGCGGCAGATTAATATACAGGGGGATAGCTTGTACTCGGTTAAGTACCTCAACAAAACATGAGGTCCATATATAAGGCCGCCTGTGAAGGAGACAGGATCAGATTAGTAAAAAAAAATTGACCATCAGAAATTCCCGAGCGCATCAGATTAAGGTAGGGTGAGTTAATTACATCCTAAAAAGTGTATATTCCACTAATCTGACAATTTGAGAGTGACGTAAAGAAAGGGGAGGGCAACAAAGTTGTAAAAAAAAACGTCATCTCGACATTCTCGAGCGTAGCTAAATTTTTTTTTATTTTGAAGTAAATAATTCAAGAATAATGAAAAATATATAATCTGACGATTTCCGCAAGCCGAAATAACAAAAATTCGTCGATAATAAAGTAAAATGCGTGCAGCTGCGTGACGCCTATATTTCCTTCTCCGCGTTTCTATTTCTCTCTCACTCTTTCTCTATTCAAAATTTGACGGAAACGTTTAGAAATAATAAGTGTCACTATCATAGCACCAGAAAACTTTACGTTTAAAATATATCAAAAGAATAGTTTTGTATGAAATGAATATTATATATATTAAGACATAATAGCTTATTGGAATCGATGAATTATTTAAAATGATTTTATCTTTTATTTATTTTTATAGAAACATCTGTCGAAGTTTGACAGTTAAATTTCTAAACGTACATAGAAACCTCAAACAAAATTATCGTTTTTTCATTCGGTCTTGCGATGCCGAAAGAAGTACCTAAACTCACCAGCATCTCAACTGGATCGTTTTTAAGAAAGTCCATGGTAGGCCCCCTGGTTTCTGTTGCCATGAAGCCATCACAGCCGATCATAAAGACTGATTTGAAATGTGTATTTTGTAGTGAAAGTACATTACAAAAAATAATTAAATTTACGGTAAAAACATTAAAAAAATGTGTAAATATTTTGGAATATCGTCGGAGCAAGCCGGTTATCCGAAAGTCTCGAGGAACATATGATAACCTCGAATTGTCGATGGAATCATCATTAAATGATTTATATCACGCACAGAGCTATAAATTATTTACTGCAATTAAAATACCGCGAGACTTTCAGTATTTACAAGATCAAATTGTAGTGGAACATGACAATACACCGGAAGTTTCGGGAAATAGCTACGAAACACATGCACCTGATTCTGGAGAGTGTTCCGAAGCACATGGTACTGTTGATTCCTTGTCTACTGAGGTTGCTGGTACATCGACAGACCAGTAAGTTCTAATATGACTTCATTTATTAAATATTTATAATACTGAAAAAAATAATTTTATAAAATTTTCAGAGTGGGAGAGTCGAGCAACGTTCAGGAAGGCTTTCAGGATTCCAATAATTCATTCAGTACAGATTCAGCATCACAAACGTGCTTCATTTGCCAAAAAGCGTAAACGGCGTCATGGTCGTGAAGTTCGTTTAGCTGTCAATAGATTAAAAACTATTGAGAATTTGAAAAGCGCGGCCACGGAACAATATGATGTACAAATGTTGGAAAAGCTCCGTTCTTTCTCTGATGATACCAAAAATCCCTACCATAAATGTTGCAAGGATCAATATTTTCGCGATATTTATAAGAATGATAATAGCGAATTTCTAAGGAAAAAAAAGTTACCAATACTGCGTATACTATTCTTTGTGAAATGTTAGAAGAAACAGTTGTCAAGAATAGTGAATGTTTGTTTTTTGATTTCGTAAAAAAAGAATATCAAAAATTGTTAGAGCAGCAATGCAGTTTATTATCTAATTCCATCAATATTTCTTCGTTCTCAGACCGTCACTTGGAAAGAAAATTGATGGAAACTTTTGACAATAAGATGAAAATAATTTACGCTGAAAAAAAAAAGTT